ATAATAAATAAATAATGAGATACTGCTAAGTATGCATTCTGAAACAGAAATCTATCAAAATCATAAGTGCAATGCAACAATAATAGTTTTAAATTATTTTCAGTTAATACTTAACCATTGGAACATGCTTTGGTAATTGTTTGTTTTAACATATAAAAACAAATATAAAAAAAATGTCCCCTAAATACTAAATTCAGCTGGAAAAAAGTTTGTACGCATTATGACCTGAGATTTTATTCTTCAATGCAGGTCATGACCTGCATTTTCATTTTCATAGGTTGACAGGTATGTGCATGAGTATAGTTCCACATATTTTAGATTTGACAAACAGTGATGTTGGCATACAACTTGAAATTGTTACACTGTCTGTAAGACACAAATGATGCCCCCGCCTGACCATAGGAAATTATAAATTTAACACTATGTATGATGATCTATGTTTTATTCTTATGCTAAAGGCTAAACTTGCAGGACTGAAAAAAAATCAAAATTCTGTGGCCATGCACACCTCCATTATGTGTATGAACATCCTACATTAAAGCTGTAGCTCCAAAACATGATCTCTTTATGCAGCTAGTACCAAAACTAGAGGCTCTAAAGAGCCTGTGTCGCTCATCTTGGTCTAAGTGCATATTCAACAAAGGACACTCTCCAACATTGAAGACAAGAATAGAATTTATTAGAAAAATCTCTGTTTTGTTGATCTTGTATTGCTGATCATTTAGTCTGTTTAGTTTCTCTATATCTTCTTTAGTTTTTGCTCAAAACACAAAAGAGGGTAAAAAAAATCCTTATTTAAGGGGCTGGGCAATCACTCCTATAAAGAGTTTATCAACAAAATATGACTTGTTAGTAGATCGGACGATTTCCTCTATATTGTCTTAATTGTAGATCTTGTCTTGTTGATCATTTTTGCCTATATAAGTTTCTATCTATCTATTTTAATTTTTATGAAATAAGGCAAAAACGCAAAATATTGTAAAAATCATCATCAAAGGGCAATAACTCTCATATAGAGTAGGCTGACGATTTCGACAATTGAACTTATTTGTAGAACTTGTCTTTCTGATCATTTTTGCATTTTAATGTTTATCTGTATCTATTATAGTTTTCAAGATAATAGGCAACTAGAGGCTCTAAAGAGCCTGTGTCGCTCACCTTGGTCTATGTGCATATTAAACAAAGGACACACATGGATTCATGACAAAATTGTGTTTTGGTGATGGTGATGTGTTTGTAGATCTTACTTTACTGAACATTCTTGCTCCTTACTACTATCTCTATCTATAATGAACTTGGCCCGGTAATTACAGTGGAAAATACTTTGTAAAAATTTACAAAAATTTACAAAATTTATGAAAATTGTAAAAAATTGACTATAAAGGGCAATAACTCCTTAAGGGGTCAATTGACAATTTTGGTCATGTTGCCTTATTTGTAGATCTAACTTTGCTGTACATTATTGCTGTTTACAGTTTATCTCTATCTAGACTATAATAATATTCAAGATAATAACCAAAAGCTGCAAAATTTTCTTAAAATTACCAATTCAGGGGCAGCAACCCAACAACGTGTTGCCTGATTGGTCTGAAAATTTCAGGGCAGATAGATCTTGACCTAATGAACAATTTTATCCTCATCAGATTTGCTCTAAATGCTTTGGTTTCAGAGATATGAGCCAAAAACTGCATTTTACCCTATGTACTATTTTTTAGCCATGTCGGCCATCTTGGTTCGCGATCGGGGTCATCGGACACATTTTTTAAACTAGATACCCTAATGATGATTGTGGACAAGTTTGGTTAAATTTGTCTTAGTAGTTTCAGAGGAGAAGATTTTTGTAAAAAATTACAAAAATTTACGAAAAATGGTTAAAAATTGACTATAAAGGGCAATAACTCCTTAAGGGGTCAACTGACCATTTTGGTCATGTTGACTTATTTGTAGATCTTACTTTGCTGAACATTATTGCTGTTTACAGTTTATCTCTATCTATAATAATATTCAAGATAATAACCAAAAACGGCAAAATTTCCTTAAAATTACCAATTCAGGGGCAGCAACCCAACAACGGGTTGCCTGATTGGTCTGAAAATTTCAGGGCAGATAGATCTTGACTTAATGAACAATTTTATCCCATCAGATTTGTTCTAAATGCTTTGGTTTCAGAGATATGAGCCAAAAACTGCATTTTACCCTATGTACTATTTTTTAGCCATGTCGGGCATCTTGGTTCGCGGGCGGGGTCATCGGACACATTTTTTAAACTAGATACTCTAATGATGATTGTGGACAAGTTTGGTTAAATTTGTCTTAGTAGTTTCAGAGGAGAAGATTTTTGTAAAAGATTACAAAAATTTACGAAAAATGGTTAAAAATTGACTATAAAGGGCAATAACTCCTTAAAGGGGGTCAACTGACCATTTTGGTCATGTTGACTTATTTGTAGATCTTACTTTGCTGAACATTATTGCTGTTTACAGTTTATCTCTATCTATAATAATATTCAAGATAATAACCAAAAACGGCAAAATTTCCTTAAAATTACCAATTCAGGGGCAGCAACCCAACAACGGGTTGTCCGATTCATCTGAAAATTTCAGGGCAGATAGATCTTGACCTGATAAACAATTTTACCCCATGTCAGATTTGCTCTTAATGCTTTGGTTTCAGAGATATATGCCAAAATCTACATTTTACCCCTATGTTCTATTTTTAGCCATGGCGGCCATCTTGGTTGGTTGGCCGGGTCACCGGACACATTTTTTAAACTAGATACCCCAATGATGATTGTGGCCAAGTTTGGTTAAATTTGTATTAGTAGTTTCAGAGGAGAAGATTTTTGTAAAAGATTACAAAAATTTACGAAAAATGGTTAAAAATTGACTATAAAGGGCAATAACTCCTTAAGGGGTCAACTGACCATTTTGGTCATGTTGACTTATTTGTAGATCTTACTTTGCTGAACATTATTGCTGTTTACAGTTTATCTCTATCTATAATAATATTCAAGATAATAACCAAAAACGGCAAAATTTCCTTAAAATTACCAATTCAGGGGCAGCAACCCAACAACGGGTTGTCCGATTCATCTGAAAATTTCAGGGCAGATAGATCTTGACCTGATAAACAATTTTACCCCATGTCAGATTTGCTGTTAATGCTTTGGTTTCAGAGATATATGCCAAAATCTACATTTTACCCCTATGTTCTATTTTTAGCCATGGCGGCCATCTTGGTTGGTTGGCCGGGTCACCGGACACATTTTTTAAACTAGATACCCCAATGATGATTGTGGCCAAGTTTGGTCAAATTTGGCCCAGTAGTTTCAGAGGAGAAGATTTTTGTAAAAGTTTACGGACGACGGACGCAAAGTGATGAGAAAAGCTCACTTGACCTTTCAGGTCAGGTGAGCTAAAAATGAAAAAAAATGGTAAAATTTGTCATTTAAGGGCAATAATTCTCTAAGAAGTTGTCTGACAATTTTGACGTAAATGGACAGTTGGTAGAGCTCAACATTCTTAACATTTTTGCCATTGTCAGATTTTCTCTATTCATAACGGTTTTCAAAATAATATACAAAACTTGCATTTTACCTCTGTGTTCTATTTTTAGCCATGTCGTCCATGTTGGTTGGCAGCCATGGTCATTAGACACATTTTTTAAACTAAATACCCTAAGGATGATTGTGGCCAAGTTTGGTTAAATTTGTCTCAGTAGTTTCAGAGGAGAAGATTTTTGTAAAAGACTACAAAAATTTACGAAAAATTGTGAAAAATTTACTTTAAAGGGCAATAACGCCTTATGGGGTCAATTGACAATTTTGGTCATCAAACTTATTTGTAGATCTTACTTTGCTGAACAATTTTGCTGTTTACAGTTTATCTCTATCTATTATAATATTCAAGATAATAACCAAAAACTGCAAAATTTCCTTAAAATTACCAATTCAGCGGCAGCAACCCAACAATGGGTTGTCTGATGCGTTTGAAACATTTAAAAGCAGATAGATCTTGACCTGTTGAACATTTTTACCCCATGTCAGATTTGCTCTAAATGCTCTAGTTTCAGAGATATAAGCCAAAAACTGCATTTTACCCCTATGTTCTATATAGTCATGGCGGCCATCTTGGTTGATGGGCGGGGTACTCAAGATACATTTTTTAAACTAGATACTCTAAGGATTTCAGAGAAGATTTTTGTAAAAGTTAACGGAGGATGACGGACGCCAAGTGATGAGAAAAGCTCACTTGGCCAAAGGGCCAGGTGAACTAAAAATGACTGTCCAAATACCTGTCATTTTCAGAATATTTGAAAAAAAAAAAATCAAAATCCTGTGGCCATGCACACCTCCATTATGCATTTAAACATCCTACAAAATATTAAAGCTGTATCTCCAAAACTGTAGGAGATAGACTGACAAACCATGATCTCTTAAGGCAGCTTGTACCAAAAAAATGATTAAGTCCAACTACCTGTCATTTTTAGAATATTTAAAAAAAATCAAATCCCTGTGGCCATGCACACCTCCATTATGTGTATAAACATCCTACAAAATATTAAAGTTGTACCTCCAAAACTGTAGGAGGAGATAGCCGGACAAACAATTTATCCTAACCTGGATGGACAGATGGACGGACAGGGGTAAATTAATATGCCCCTCGACATTTTGTCGCGGGGGCATAAAAACAAAGTCCATCTATCAGTAAACTATTTAAATATGAAACTGAAAATATTTTCTAATAAAATGCTCACAATTGCTTTCATTTTGAAATGTGAACGAAGTTAAAAACTTGAGTTGCAACAGCACATATTTAGGCAATATTTTAAATTGGAGTTCTTTCTTTATCCATAAAACTATGAAAATGTGACTGTCACGCAGATAAGTTTAATAGTCAACGTGGTATTGCAATAGAACCTAAATTTAACAGGTTCAAGAAATATTTTTACACTATACATATATTTGGATACAAAATATTAAATAGAATTGGATCAATCACCTGAACACTGGCATAGTTGACTCTTCTAGCTCGCTTTGGAGGTTCTACAAATGTGTCCTCCATTTTCTGTTTCTTCCTATAGTCCTCTCCCTCAAAATAATAAATATCAATCTCTGATGTATCCATGGTGAATGATCTTAGGTTCTTGTCACTTACACTATCCATCTTCTGGTTTATCACCTCAGTCTGAAATCAGTTAAAAGAACAAAGAAATGATTCATTTATTTAGTTGTTACCATTTTTTCATGGATTGAGGACAAATTGTACTTTTATAGAACTTGATTTCGTGTGGTTTTTTACAAATTCTGGATACAACCCAAAAGAAAATATATGATTTCTGTTGAACTCAATGTGTTGTTCTCCTGCATACACCAATGTGCCTGTACAATAAGTATACCATGAATAAAGCACTTCTCTTTTACCCGTTTTCAAATAGATACATCTGACTTGGTAAACATATTTTGTAAAAATTACACCTTTTGTTCTTTCCATGTTGGAATAAACAGTAAAGATAAATTCAAAATATTGGAATAGCCAGATAGTCCAGTGGATATAAGAATAAATGATCACTTTATGGTAAAAACATGAAACTTGACATAGTGAAAGATTAAGTGGTATAAACAAAATTCAAATATGGTACTGTGAATACAACACAAAATCTTTCAATTTACTACCAATGAAAGATATGTACATTGTATGAAACCCAACAAAGATACAAGACAAGTATTTCTTTTTTCAAAATGGGAGCGAAAATAAAAATGGCACCTCAATAGTAACTATTTGGCATAACAACTTTATAGAACATATTCAAGTTATTGATAATTTAAATTAGATCCATCTGCAGGATAATTAAAATGTAGCAAAGTCTCAATGGATTTCTCTCTAACAGTCTGGTGAGCAGTTACATAATGCCTGTATTTCAATGCTGCTTTCAAGCATTTACATGCCCCTCAACATCCTTTCTTACAGCAACAGTGGATGAGCTCTTGATATGACATTGCAGCTTCTGCAAGCCCTGGACAAAATGGTACCCACGTACCATCAAGTTTTTGCCAACGAAATAAATCCTGAGATGGCATACCAGAATTATTTACGCAATTGCACAATAGAATTACGCATATGCATAATTAATAACACGATTGCATAAATAGAATTACGCATATGCATAATTAATAACGCGTTTGCATAAATACAATTACGCATATTCAGAATTAACAAGTAAAACTGTGAGCTACCGCTCACTGATGATACCCCCGCCCAAATATTTCGGTTAACAGGAAGTTGTTGAGTGATGAATCTGAAAACGCATCACACGGTATAGCTGACTTATATAAACCCTGAAACCAAATTTCAGAAATCCTTGTCAAGTAGTTCCTGAGAAAAATGTGACGAAAATTTCAACTTAGCTATCATGTGTAAAATAATACAAGTGTTCGGTAAACAGGAAGTTGTTGAGTGATGAATCTGAAAACGCATCACACAGTATAGCTGACTTATATAAACCCTGAAACCAAATTTCAGAAATCCTTGTCAAGTAGTTCCTGATAAAAATGCGACGAAAATATTCATGGGACGGACGGACGGACTGACGGATGGATGGACTGACGGAAGGACAGACAGAGGTAAAACAGTATACCCCCACTTTTTTAAAGCGGGGGTATAATTACGTGATTGCATACTGGTAAATACAATTATGCATATGCAGAATTAATAATCTATACGCGTAAATATATTTATGCAATTTTGAGTTATGACACACATTCCGCGCCATAGATGGTCTTCAATTTTTGGTGGGTCATAACATACATCAATCTAAGTTGTTACATCATAGTTTGTTAGGGGATTCAGTAGGAATGAATCGAAAAATAAAGTTCCAATCTGTCCAAAAATTACTTCACTAGTACACCACTAATTCATAGCCCATTGCTTTCTATGTTAAATTCCTCAATTTCAAGCAGGCACAGCTCTTTTGTCTTAAGTTCAAATTAAGTGGCAATCATTGCATGTCAAAGCAACACCATATGGTGTATTGTATCCTCGATGATTGGAAGTTTGTTACACTAACTCGAAACGAAAGAAAAAAATCACAACCTTGGAGCAAATATTATCCATTGTGAATGTAAATATTCTTTACTTATTGCCAAACAGTCTGATGCACTTAATTGATGAAAAGCTTCAGAAACATGGTCAATCTGTCTACGTTTGGTATTGTGACCCGATTATGTAAAATAAGGAGACATGCTTGTAAGTTCATGACCCTTTTCTTGGACGGTGGCTTTTGCGCATGTGCAACAACAAATAGTTCAGACATATTGTATTATGTATTTGAACATTACAGAATAAATTCTGAGTTCAAATAACAAATAAATATCTTGAAAAAAAAATGAGAAATTGGGACTAATGGTAACTTTTTTATTCACCCTAAAACAATTATCCTAATTTTTACACGTTACTTCCAGTGGTCAATAGGAAAGTCCAGAATTAAACACTTTAAACATGTTTAAGATATTACTATAACATGTCATAATGTCATTAATACATCAAAGAATTTTTTCATTCAATTTGCATTCAATGGCATAGGATTCATTTACTCTTTTACGAGCCAATATTCATCATGGTTTTGTTTTATCAAAATCTTTCAAATCATTTTCTGATCTTAAAAAATCTGCTCACTTAGATTTTAAAAAATAATACTCTTGGCAACAAAAAAGGGAAAAAGAGCGCCACATGACCTAAAAATAGTTGATGACTCATTGTTGAGATTTTAAAAACATTGCTGAAAGGATTTTCCCAAGAATTCAATGAACTTCTTGGAGAGAAATAAAACAGTAATAGTGGATCGAAACAGACGTTTAAGCAAATAATATGCAAGAACATACACAACTTCTCTTTTTCATGCCGATATTAATGAAAATGCAATGAAAAATATCCGGTTAAGTTTTTTTGAAGTAGCACGTTGCCGATGATAAATACTTATGCATGACGTCACGAATAAAGTGGAAATCCCCAATTGTTACAAACTTGCAAGCATAACAAACTTGCTATCATCGACGATACTGAAAAAAATCAACATACCTTTAATTGCATATAAGAGAGAACTGGTTCCCCGAACTTCGGATGTACCAAAACAGGTACTTCAGATCTGACAAACAGGCAAAATGTACCCTCCTTTTTAAATTTCATGCAATGTTTTTATTATTAAAAATTATAGAACCTTTGTGAGCATGCTCACATACCCCAAACCCCCACATTGTCACTGGGCAGACAAAATATCACCCAGTTCCTAAGTTCAATGATTAATAACTCCTACAAAAGTCAACTGATAAAAATTTCTTGAGGATATGCAAATCTGCATATTTTTTCCTTATTATCTTCAAAGTTTCATGAAATTCTGTAGTATGATTTCAGATGAGTTGCAATGACAAACTGCTGCAGTAGTATATTTAGGCCAAGATTCTAAGTTCAAAGAGGCATAACTCCTAGAAAAAAATTAAATCAAAATTTCCTGTCGATAAGCACATCTACATAGTATGTTCTAACTATCTATGAAGTTTCATGAAATTCTGTCGTATGGTTTCAGAGGAGTTGCGAAAAACAAACTGCTGCAGTAGTATATTTAGGCCAAGATTCTAAGTTCAAAGAGGTATAACTCCTAGAAAAAACATTGAATCAAAATTTCCTGTCGATAAGCACATCTACATAGTATGTTCTAACTATCTATGAAGTTTCATGAAATTCTGTCGTATGGTTTCAGAGGAGTTGCGAAAAACAAACTGCTGCAGTAGTATATTTAGGCCAAGATTCTAAGTTCAAAGAGGCATAACTCCTAGAAAAAAAACTGATTCATAACTACCTGTCGATATGCACATCTACACATTATGTCCTAATTATTTAAAAAGTTTCATGAAATTCTGTAGTGTGGTTTCAGAGGAGTTGAGAAGACAAGAACAGGACTGACGGATGGGTCAAAAACATTATACCCTATGGAACTTTGTTCCGTGGGGTATAATTATAAGTCAAAAAGTATTCTACAATGATCATAAGTCATTCATATTTCATTTGATACCAAAATTACCAAAATATTCTACATATTTTGAAAGTTACACCCAAGCATAGTAACTATTTTGTGTTAAATATGTACTACTTTTTGACCTGCCCCAATTAGTGGTGTTACACCTTATAAACAGACCCTGTATTTCCCTTATCCTTCACAAATCTAACAAGAACACCCTTATAATATTGCATATGAGGTTAAATCCTTTTATCTGCTACAAGATAGTTTGATGACATAAAATTAAATTTTAGATATGTGTATAATATGTTACTAATAATATGTTCAAAATGATTTCAATAACATCATCAACAAGAACGTGTCCATAGTACACGAATGCCTCCACTCGCACTATCATTTTCAGGGGACAATGAAATTGGGGTTCAACTTCATCAAAAACTACCTTGACCAAAAACTTTTAACCAAAAACTTTAACCTGAAGTGGGACAGAAGGACTCGCAGACGGACGAACGGACTCACAGACCGAAAAACATAATGCCCCTAAGTGGGGCATAAAAATGTTCATACCCTTTTTTCTCCCTTTGCCAAAATGGTATCAATATCATCATCATTTACAATAGAGTCTTTAGAAGCAGCTATTTGGTTGGCTCCATGTTTTATCATATTAAGAACTTCTCCTTTTCCCAGTTTATTGGAGCTGTCTGATAATCTACCTGCAATCATTCAATGGAAATATTTCATGTGATAACAAACAGCAGTTTCTTTAGCTAGATGGCTGCTGCGTGAGTGAGTGAGAGAATGAATTTGATTCGGTAAAGCACTGGCTTCAGATTCTCATTTTGAATTGTTAAACTGCTAGTCCGAAATTTTATATTTATTCTCAAATCATTGGAGCACATAGTATTATTAAAAATCTAGTTTATTCCTTAGCTGACAGACTTGTATAGTCCTTAGTCAAATGCAAATGTTAAAATTTAAATGGCAACACTTGACCCTGTAAAATATGCTTAAATTCTTATAATGGACATGACACTGTAATGTGCATAAGCTTATACAACTGGATACCAAAATCAATTACTGATTCCCCTTCAACTGACTTCATGACAAACTTTAACAATTGTAGTCACTGCAGATGCTTCCAGTAACAGCATTACCAGGTTTCACTTCTGTGAGAGAAAAACTAGTGTCTCGAGATAATTTAACTATGCTTACACAAATCCCTATGTTTTGTTTATATTGTATTAAATTTACATAAAATGTATTCTCTGATTTATGGATAGGCATATCAACTGGCTCTTGCTGAAGCTGATCATTGAACATCTATCCCCAAATATGTTGGTAACATTTTTTTTTTAAACCTATATCACCTTGCTGTATAACTATATAGTCAAGTCGAAGCTTTTTCTCTGCTCTCTCAAGTATTTTTTCTTCCACTGTGTGTTCTGTAACAAAGCGTAGGACCCTTACTTGTTTGGTCTGGCCAATTCTGTGTGCCCTGTCCTGAAATAAGAATTAAAGGGGTATTATCAAAGTATCATGCTTTGGATTTATAATTTAAACTGATACAATAGTTTGCAAGATTTGTTTATGCTAGAAAAAAAGAATCAACGCTTTGTCCTGCTTAGTACACTGATCTCGTTAAACAAAGTATCTCTCAACAGCAAGTATGTGTCTGACAGAAATGAAAACTGGTCACTTGTTACAATTCATCACAGTCAAGCTGGTGACAAACCATGTAGTCATTCTGTCTAGTATTACTGGAGAAATGTGTGATGAAAGTTTTAGTTTATTAAACATATTGAAATAATCAAAGTATTGGCAAACAAGAAGTAGGTAATATAAAGATAAGGAGATGTCTCTGATAGATTCAAAAAGTGCACACGTTACAACTCATCTCTGTCACAGAGAAAAGGACTAACATATTCCATCTAGGGGCCCTACCTTCCAAAATATGAAAGAATAACATAAGCACAATGGTCGTTTTCAGCCAAAATTTAGGGTCCCAGCCAAATATATAGTAGCCTGTGTTACTGGGCCCAGGGTAATCCTTTTCCCTGCTGTCAAGCTGCTTATAAATAAAAAGTTTTTCTGTTCCTTAGTACCTGAGAAAAGTGTGACAGAAATGTCTGTTGGACGAACTGATGGACAGGGAGATTACAATATAGCCTCCCCCTCTATGGTGGAAGTAAAATAAGGTGAAGAAAGTTTCTGCTTGTAAGATAGGTTCCTAGACCTTGAACAACCTGTGTAATCTTAAATATTTGGTAATTTAGTTTGAGCCATACATTTTGTGGAAAATCTTGTCAGGTACTACAGAACAGATATTTGTTCCTTTAAAATTATAGATCTTACACCTTTGAAGGTATAACTATCCATCATTGGCGAGTAGACAACAGTTTTATTCCAATCCTTGCAAAATTGGGATTTCATTGTTGGATAAAAAGTTTATTTCTTGAAAATTTTGAAACTATTTAATTTATTTTATGTGAACTATTAGTTTACATATACACTCACTGATTTTCAATTTAAAGAAAACAATTAAAACTTACCATGGCTTGTAAATCCACCTGTGGATTAAAATCAGAATCATAAATAATGATGACATCTGCTGTTGCTAAATTTATTCCCAATCCACCAGCTCGGGTACTCAACATAAAGATGAACTTTTCACTTCCAGGAGAATTGAATTCATTTATTGAGACCTAAAATAAAAGCCATATTTGGACTGATTAACTGTAACACAGGTCTGACCAGTGAATGGAATAGAATTGCATACATGAGAGTGCTGTAACAATACCATTTTCTATAGAATTTACATTTCTCAAGGACACAACTTCTGAAATTTTTTTTTTTTATCAGAACTGATTTTCAAAATTGTCCGATATTGGTGATATAAACCTTTAATATAAATTTCATAACAATCCTACAAGAAATGTAGGCTTTAGAGCCATTACAATGCAATTTTCTATATAATTATTATTTCCAAGGGGCATAACTCTTAAAAATAGTTGATTGCCATGACATATTATTATGGCTGCATGTGGACTAGTCTTTAATCTTACTTTTGAATGCCATTAACTTTAGTAGTACAGAAGCAGCAAATACAGTGTATTCTCTACCTGTAATGAACAATGTTGGGAAGAGGTTCCAGAATCTTGCTAATACAATACTTTTTTCAGATGAAGTTATTGCCAAACTTTATCAAATATCAAAATGTTATATTTATTTTAACAAATTACAAAATCAGGCTAATGCAGAAAAAAACCCCTACTATTTACACTTACTGTTCTTTCTGCATGTGGAGTTTTTCCATCCAGTCTACAAAACTGGTAACCTTGCCAGAATAAGTAATCTTCCAGAATGTCTAGTACCCGTGTCATCTGACTGAAGATCAAAACTCTAGAGCCTGAAAAGTCATTACTAAATTTATATAGACAAACTATGCTGTCACTTAATTATGAACCAAATGCATGGCCAGTTATACTTTTGCAAAGTGATATGTTAATCTTACTAAAATGGTATTATCTTTACGGCACATATGAGGACATATTCTAGTTATGTTCATTGTTTCCTGTGTACTGTATGTTTAAATAGAACAGCCTTAAACTTATGTTGTTATCTTACTTGTGTCTTTTTTTCATATTAAAGCAATTTTTTTAATATATAATCTGGATATATGGACAAAATCTGCCACATCTGTTTTATAGTTCAACTAGACAAAAGTAATCTCCTGCAATCCCTTTGCAATGAATTTTAATGATTCAACAGTTTTTTGCTCATTTCCTTGGAAGTATCCATCCAGATCAGACATATATAATTCTCCTGCATATTGTCACTCTAAGACTATTCATCCATGGGTCTAAACACATTAATTGTGCACACTGTATATATGAAATTCACAACCAAAAAATGTACAAGAACTAAACATCTCTGGAAATAGGACTCCAAGTAGAACTATACACATACACTCGAGTCTCTACAAAAATTTGCAAACGTTTTATCTTTAAGTGATCTATTCCAGATACTAAGATCAAGCAACCTACCCTGGCTCTTTAATTTTGGTAGCATTTTATGTAGGACTGACATCTTTCCACTGTTTACCACAAGGTGCATATCAGTTATATATGGTGGACCTACAATAATTATTCTTTTAAAAACCAGAACATGAATAAATGCTTATTTCTATGTAGTTGTGATATAATATTGACATAGTGTAAATTTTGTTCCTTTGATTTATATACAAATACAAATATTGTGCACATTTCTTCATTTGTGCACTTTTTAAAGTGAAAATGACTTTTGATTCTTTCCTAAGTAAAATCTGGGAGAGCTTTCCTATTTGTTAAAATTAGGAAGTCATATAAAAAGTAAAACATATAAAAAGTAAAATAACAAAAATACCGAACTCCAAGTCCCTTATCAAATGGCAAAATCAACTGCTCAAACACATCAAACGAATGGAAAACAACTGTCATATTCCTGACTTGGTACAGGCATTTCCTTATGTAGAAAATGGTGGGTTTAACCTGGTTTTATAGCACTAGCTAAACCTCTCACTTGTATGACACCTTTTCTTCTTGCATTACATAGATTTTCTGTGGCTTTAGATCAGTTTATTATCTTTCATGATTTTCATAATTTTTTTTTCTGTTGCAAAGTTGATTAAGCATTTGTAATTTGAAAAAAAAAAACAGCAATGTGAAAAATCCTTTTATTAAACAATTATATTTGTTCTCCATCTTATAAAAGACTAATACTGTCATTGTATGCTTAAAAAATATCAAGATCAGAGAACCTTTATAACAGCACACCAATAAATTTTGGCTCGTTTTCAAATTTCCAATGTAACTTCCAATAAGTTCCTGTATCAATCAAATTCTTGATTTTCTACTTTTCACTAGTTTTAAGGACTTCCAGGATTTAATTATAGTTACCCTGTTCAGCTCCAGCGAACAAGTAAGGATGGTTACAACATTTCCTCAGTTGCATCAACACATTCAGTAATCTCATCTTATCTACATTACCAGTACCATTAACTATATCTATGTCTTTCATCAGTATTTTTGTGTACCTGCAGGTATAAAAAAGTCAGAATTAGAATAAATCTATAAGCTGTCATTTACATTAAATCAAATATTAAATTTCGGTTATATCAGCAAATTGTTTTGTTGACTCTCAACAAATTTGATGTTGCTGTTGAACCCTACAGTCTTGTAGAAAATTTCATAAAGATATTCCTAAGAAATATAACATCATTTGAAAAGGCCTTAAATATAACAGCCTTTTAAAAAGGGCATTTTCAAATCTTCCCAATCTTCTAGTTTTTCTGCAAAAAGAATTCCTTGGAAATGATTCATACTAAAGTTTATTTTCAAGAATTTATACTGTATAATTTGATAAGATAAATGATAAACATTGCTCTTCATAATATACATATTCCAAATTCCTCCTGCAATCTAATTTTCCAAAATTTGTATGTGTTTGGATTTAATTTTTTTTCTAAAATAACATACCATTCTCTTTGCATGCTACTTAATCCTACAAATATTTTAGTCTCCTTTTTAGGAAGTAGCTGTTTCTCAACATCTGATTTGATCCTCCTCAAAAGGAATGGTCGTAAAATCTGTAATAAGATATATTATAGATAGACCAATCAAGTAGTCATATTTAGTTAGATGGCAAGATAAAGCAGTTAAAAAACAAGCTAAATATTTCACTTCATTTCAAAGGAAAAGTGTGATTCAATACATACCAAGTTTAATGTTTAATCTTTTTTCCACTTTCTAGTATTATAAAGATGCAATTCATGGAATACCATAGAAATCTGGGAAACCCTAAGTGCAATTAATATGAACTTAAATGTATAATTTCCAGAATTTTTCGATAGTAATGGCTCACAAGTATTATCAGGAATGTTCTTTACTTTTAACAAACTATCCAATTTCACAATTTCAGTTAAAGAAGCACTTACATCATGAAGACGTTCAATCAATTCATCATCACTCAAGCTATTCTTAGTGGAAAACCAAGCATCAAAGTCCTACAAAATAAATTAAAATCTTTAAAAACAAAAGTGTGTCTGAGGACACAAATGCCCCCACTTAAGTTTGCTTTTTTTTAAAGAAAATGGGACGAACGGAAAGACAGTCAAGAGTAACACTTAATGCCCCTTCGCCTTGCGGAGGGGACATCAAAATTCAAAAGATTTCCAGATATATCTGACAGAAAATGTTCTTCACAAAAGGAAGTTTTTAATTATGAACAAAGCTGATGAAATTTTATACAATTCATATCATAATTTATAGTCAAGATTTTCTCCAAATACAGTCTGCCTACAGATGCAGACCATGACCATTAATATGAAATCCATTAAAGTTCTTTTATTGTTTCAAGGTCATTATACTCTAAAAACTTGGTTGTATTTGGTAAATATACGATTTATTGAAAAGAAATAATAAAGAAACTAAAAGTTCTTTTTTCTTTTCATTCACAGGGTCTTTCTCATTTTTATCAAGTTACTTCCTTTAGCCAGTTTTTGCTAGGAAATAATATTTCAGCATCTCTTTTCAATTTGAAATTAACATGGGCCATAAATCTTGAACAGTAAATGCAACAAAAGTAAGGATAGAGCTTGACCTGAATTTTTGGAAAATATTAATACTACAAAATTATATGATCCTATCACAACAAATATACATGTAAGATCTTGGCTGTATGCAAAGTAAGGCTATATCATTAAATTTACCATTTAGAGACAACATTAGGGCCATTACATTGAAACAGTAAATCAAGTTACAGTGAAAATCAAACTTTAACTGGATTGTATTGTCATTGTTATGTTACAAACATTCAAAGCTCAAATGATGATAACTAAATTCATACCGACATCCTCCAACTACCCAATTTTAACAATTTTCAAGGGCCGTAACTATGGAACAGTAATTGAAACAAAAGTGAATATGGAATTTGAGCTATATTAAAGGGTTATAAATATAAATATTGGAAAGCTGTAAATTTACTTCGAAATAAACTAAATATTATCATAAGGAAAACCTTTTAACATTTAGAGACAAGACAAGAACATTGCGCAAACGAATGTTATCAATTTAAATACCCCAGCTGAATGAAAAACGTCAGGTAATAGAAAATTCAGCAATGCCCACAACTCATGCAAATTATTCTGCAGTGGGGTTCCAGTCAGCAACAATCTGTTCGTTGATGTTATGCTTCGAACAATCTCTGACAGCTGAAAATACAAAACACTCTTAATATTAGGCAGTATTTTGTGAATAGATTTTGAAAAAGCAAAGACACAGATTTTTTCAAACTAATTTTAATCCAAGTACTGTTACCAACTTGTAGTATATTTTGTTTTAGTATACCTTACTGACTGGTGATCTGTCCGATAAAACTCATCAAAGATACGAGTTGTAAAAGTTTAGTATCCAAGACGAGTATTTGGTCTACATGATACTCGAATCAAATTCAGTTGGAAGGGCAAATCAATTGCTAAGTTGAAGTGCATTGAATACAAAAACTTCTGTTGTCAGTTCATCTATGTTATGTAAACAAAATGCATGGACTTTACTGGACAACAGAAATTATTTCACTTGGTTATTTGTAATTCTAAATCAAAAGAAGACAATTAGATCGAGACAGTCCAAGATCTTTCTAACAGCAAGCTATGGTTGCTTTTTTTATTCAGAAGGGTATCGTTTATTATCAAAACTTTGATATTCCTCAACCATTCTGACCACACATTACTGTGGATTCTTTTATTTTTGTGGGTTCCAATTTTTGTGGATTGAGGGAATATTGTATTTTTTAGTGGATATTTGAATTGGTGGTTTGCCAAATTTTGCATACATGCCATTTGAAAATTTAAAATTTGTTCACTTTAATCCACAAAAATGTGCTTCGCCGAGCGCAGCTGGATACAACCACAGAGGTCCAACCCTGAACAGTGGGGGCAAAAATGGACACAATATTCAAGCTTAATACAGGTCTGAATTTGGATTGTAATTAAATATTTGACACATTATAGGTTTCTGACACAGAATAAATGTAGTCAAAGAACTTGAAATTGGTTATATGATTTGAATTTATATTCAACTGAAGATTTCTTGCTGTTGTGCAATACACTGTGCTGTTGCCTGTTGCACAATACTTAGTAAATCTGATTTTAGACTATATATAAAGAATTAGCAAAATAAATTGTAACCCCCAATTTTTTTTTTTGGAAAATTGATAATTTCTTAAATCTTGAGGAAAAAAATTGACCCCCCCTCCAAACAAATTTTTTTTACACCCTCCCCTCCCCCCCCCCCCCCTTTTCCAAAAAAAATAATATTTGAAGAAATTTTCTTTTTGTAAAATGTGGTACAATTTAGACAACTGTACACTTAAACACAAGTTATTGTCTGAAAACTAGAAAAATGCTTGTTTTTGGCCCCTATTCCTAAACAGTTTAGGCAAATACCATCAAAATGAATCCCAACCTTCTACTTGTAGCATTGAACCTTGTGGTACAATTTCAGTGCAATCAAAATACTTATACACAAGTTATTGTCCTGAAACTAGAAAAAAATGCTTGTTTTGGGCCCCTTATTCCTAAACAGTTGGGACCATAACCCCTAAAATTAATCCCAACCTTCCTTTTGTGATATTAAACCTTGTGTTTAAATTTCATAGAATTCCATTCACTTGTACTAAAGTTATTGTCCGGAAACCAAATGTCTTCGGACGACGACGACGTGATAGCAATAGTCGATTCCGGTTATTTGCATAGCCTATTTGTCAGACAAAATTATGCAATAAAGCGGAGTATGCTTATATCCGAAATGCCAAATTACGGAGTCAAATAACATCGATAGAACAGGTCAGTAAAGGAAATCCCTGAAGAAAGATGAACGTCTATAATCTTCTTACAACATATTGAATGTTGATTTATTCTAATAAAAGTTATATGTCTAGTGTCATACATGTTATTTTATTTTGTATTCTTTCAATAAAGATTGTAAACACATTTTGTTTTAGTTTATTTGCGTACCGAAGTTTCCTTTACCTGGGATACGAAAATAAAACAAATTGTTCTAAAAATAGATTTGTTTCTATGACCCGTATGTACAATGTACATTATTACACTTTGATTAAAATAAACTGTTTAACTATACTACACAATTTATAATCAGATGTGTAATGAACTGCCTTTGATATGCAGTATTAACAGCTTGCACAGTAATGTAACACTGTTTATTTTACCTCGTTAGTTTCGTATATGCAAAGCAGTAATGGGGCCCTGTACGGGTTATTTGCTGGACACGAGTGTTGAAAGTGAGAAAATATAATAATTAGAAGTAAATGCTCTTTTCATAAAATATTAAAAATAAATGATTGATGTATAAAATTCTTTAACCATATATAAATGCCCTGTAATATTTAACATAAATGCAGTTCACCCCAAGCCCAATTACGAGAGTTCATATTGGATAATGATCGATAATTAACAGGCGTTATTGTTTTTTAAAATTCACCCCAAATGTAATCTATGGACAATGTTTGAAATCCAATCAATTATTAACACCTTTTTGAGATCGAATGGTCAGTGTTTTTACAACAATTACCTGTTTGACATTTTTATGACCTCGAGGCTTAAAATAGATGGGAAACTTTACCTGTGTAGACATCGAGGTTTATTTTTAAATCAAATTCCATCATAAAAACACGAAAGAAACTGTTTTAAAACTTTATTTAAATAACACAAAAGTAAATATAAAATAATCACGAAAATAATGATGCATCAAGAAAAATATACTCACCAAATTGCCGTTTCCGGTAAAAAATCTCGTCAGTTTTAACTAAGCATATCTAGATGGCAAATATTTTCTATGCAATAAACCGAAAGGCCACTTGTGGAGCTATATATATGCATATAACCGGAAAATTTAACATTAGATGAATGAGAAATGGTTTTGTGCAGGAGAAAACTATGCAATTAACCGAATTATGCTATTAAGTGGAGTCGACTGTGTACGAACGCAAATTTTTGGCGGTCGTATAAAAATTAATATCCCAAGAATAATAATGAATCCACAGTACCTTGGATTTTTCATTCTTTATCCTATGGGCCTCATCAATGATAAGATATCTCCATTTCATCTTCTTTAATTCTGCTTTCTCAAGGATACAAAGTTCATAAGATGTCAGACAAATATCCCATACTGTAGTCTTCATAACTTTCTTTATCATTTCTTTCTGTAAAATTAAGGCACAATATTAACCGTTGTAATTTTTTATTTCATGCAAAACTACTGTATCAGTTTCAATAGACATTACACAATTATTGATTCCTAATTTAAGTCATATGAAACGAGTTTCTTGTAATTTTGTAATTTAAATAAGGAAATTATTGAACCAATGCATGCATATATACTAAACCAAGTCCTCTATGCACGTTTTTTTACAAATCTTTAATATATCATCAACAAATAATATTTTACTAAGTGAATGTTGATCGCAAGCTCAACTTTCTAGTTTGTTACCAAAGTTTACCTGATTGTGGCATTGATAAACAATCAACACAGATTCATAAAGCATGTTAAAAATAAGTGAATTGATAGAGCTATGCTAACTATTTTTTATATTTTCCATGCGTTCCAATTTGTTAATTAAACTTTTTCATAACAGTTGTTAAATGATTTGGTATTAAATCTGTTCTTTAAAAATCAATTATAACTGTTTACCTTCCAATGCAAGTTTTTCTACATTATTTCATCACAGTTTTTCCCTTGCACTTGCCAAAGTTGTAATGAGAGGTCTCGTAGTTAAGGTCACTCAGCAGCATAGGGAAAAATATCAGCAAATTACAGTACAGGAGACAATAATTCAATAGCAGTACATTACTGAAGATTTTGATAAGATAAAGGGTTTTCTTTTACAAGAAAGTCCATGAGCACTTGTTTTATAGTAAACTAGAGGCTCTCAAGAGCCTGTGTCGCTCACCTGATTCTACTTTGGTTTTAGAAATCATGTAAAAATAGATTAAAATCATAGCAGATACCCTAATAATGAGTGAGGCCAAATTTGGTTTAATATTGGTCCTGTAATTTAATAAAAAATCCTGGTGGCCATCTTCAACAGTAAATCGGCAACAAAGTAGCAACACTTAATCAGCACCTCATAAGAAACATTTATGCCATGTTTTGGTTTCATTCCATTCAGTGCACCTCTAGAAGAAGCATTTGTATGTATTTCCCATAGGGTCTTATGTTAAAGGAAGTCCCCCAATTGGCGGCCTTCATGGATGAAGGACCAGCTTCAAAGTAACAAAACTTAGTCAGCACCTCATAAGGAACATTCATGCCATGTTTGGTTTCAATCCATTCAGTATGTGGTTCTCTAAAAGAAGACATTTGTATGTATTGTCCATAGGGTCCTTTGTTAAACATTGTCCCCCACTGGCGGCCATCATGGATGAAGGATCAGCTTCAAAGTAACAACACTTGGTCAGCACTTCAAAAGGAACATGCATGCCATGTTTGGTTTCATTCCATTCAATGGTTCTCTAAAAGAAAACATTTGTACGTATTTCTCATAGGGTCCTATGTTAAACTAAGTCCTCCGCTGACGGCCATCTTAGATTATGGATCGGCTTCATAGTAACAACACTTGGTCACCACCTCATAAGGAACATTCATGCCATGTTTGGTTTCATTCCATTCAGTGGTTCTCTAAAAGAAGACATTTGTATGTATTTCCCGTAGGGTCCTATGTTAAACTAAGTCCCCCGCTGGCTGCCATCTTGGATGATGGATCAGCTTCAAAGTAACAAAACTTGGTCAGCACCTCTTACGGAACATTCTTGCCATGTTTGGTTTCATTCCATTCAGTGGTTCTCTAAAAGAAGACGTTTGTATGTATTTCCCTCAGGGTCCCATGTTAAACTAAGTCCCCCGCTGGCGGCCATCTTGGATTATGGATCAGCTTCAAAGTAACAACACTCGGTCAGCACCTCATAAGGAACATTCATGCCATGTTTGGTTTCATTCCATTCAGTGGTTCTCTAAAAGAAGACATTTGTATGTATTTCTCATAGGGTCCCATGTTAAACTAAGTCCCCTGCATGGCAGCCATCTTGGATTATGGATCAGCTTCAAAGTAACAACACTCGGTCAGCACCTCATAAGAAACATTCATGCCATGTTTGGTTTTATTCCATTCAGTGGTTCTCTAAAAGAAGACATTTGTATGTATTTCCCATAGGGTCCAATGTTAAACTAAGTCCCCTGCTGGCGGCCATCTTCGATTATGGATCAGCTTCATAGTAACAACACTTGTTCAGCACCTCATAAGGAACATTCATGCCATGTTTGGTGTTATTCCATTCAGTGGTTCTCTAAAAGAAGACATTTGTATGTATTTCCCATAGGGTCCCATGATAAACTAAGTCCCCCGCTGGCGGCCATCTTGGATTATGGATCGGCTTCAAAGTAACAACACTCGGTCAGCACCTCATAAGGAACATTCATACCATGATTGGTTTCATTCCATTCAGTGGTTCTCTAAAAGAAGACATTTGAATGTATTTCCCATAGGGTCCTATGTTAAACTAAGTCACCCGCTGGCGGCCATCTTGGATTATGGATCGGCTTCAAAGTAACAACACTCGGTCAGCACCTCATAAGAAACATTCATGCCATGTTTGGTTTCATTCCATTCAATGGTTCTCTAAAAGAAGACATTTGTATGTATTTCCAATAGGGTCCTATGTTAAACTAAGTCCCCCGCTGGCGGCCATCTTGGATTATGGATCAGCTTCAAAGTAACAACACTCAATCAGCACCTCATAAGAAACATTCATGCCATGTTTGGTTTCATTCCATTCAGTGGTTCTCTAAAAGAAGACATTTGTATGTATTTCCAATAGGGTCCTATATTACACTAAGTCCCCCGCTGGCGGCCATCTTGGATTATGGATCGGCTTCAAAGTAACAACACTCAGTCAGCACCTCATAAGAAACATTCATGCCATGTTTGGTTTCATTCCATTCAGTGGTTCTCTAAAAGAAAACATTTGTATGTATTTCCCATAGGGTCCTATGTTAAACTAAGTCCCCCACTGGCGGCCATCTTGGATGATGAATCCGCTACAAAGTAACAACACTCAGTCAGCACCTCATAAGAAACATTCATACCATGTTTGGTTTCATTCCATTCAGTGGTTCTCTAAAAGAAGACATTTGTATGTATTTCCCATAGGGTCCTATGTTAAACTAAGTCCCCTGCTGGCGGCCATCTTGGATTATGGATCGGCTTCAAAGTAACAACACTCAGTCAGCACCTCATAAGAAACATTCATGCCATGTTTGGTTTCATTCCATTCAATGGTTCTCTAAAGGAAGACATTTGTATGTATTTCCCATAGGGTCCTATGTTAAACTAAGTCCCCCGCTGGCGGCCATCTTGGATGATGGATCCGCTACAAAGTAACAACACTTGGTCAGCACCTCATAGGGAACATTCATGCCATGTTTGGTTTCATTCCATTCAGTGGTTCTCTAGAAGAAGTTCAAAATGTAAAAAGTTAACGCCTACGACGGACGCCAAGTGATGAGAAAAGCTCACTTGGCCCTTCGGGCCAGGTGAGCTAAAAAGTGTATAAAACATGTTCCAACTTTTTTTTAAATTTGATGTATCATATGAGTTTAAAATTCAATACATCTCAACTCATGACAAAACTATTGAAAATATCACCGATTTATTTAAAAGGGGGATGGAGTGACACTGGGCAGAAAAGTTGCCTTACAAGTAACAAGTGACCATCCAAACCCTCAAATATTTATTGCAGTTGTTCTTTCGCATGCAAAACTGGTGGCCTCAACAACACTGGACAGCACATTCATTGAATGGGGACATTCAAAATGTTCACCAAAATATCACTTATTGTAACTGCTTACTTAATTCATTAATATATACAACCCAGTCTAATCAGTCTAACTTCGCCCATTAAACTACTGGAAATGGCTAACTTTCGATTTATAAGTTATCTCTATAAAGCTGTGGAAAAAATTTCAATGAAGACACAATATCTCTATGCCTTATAACATTTTTTTTTTATTATAACAATTTTTTTTTAACAAGAATATGCATCTCTAGGACACCATGCCCTGTTTATGATTTTACTGGACTTTGGCCAAATGGCCATATCTTGTTTTGTTGCCTGATGTAATGCCCACCTCAATCATATTAAACTGCGGTAAAAAAACATAATTTCAAATACATATACCCTTTCTTCTTTGTAACCCTTCAAACAGAAGATTTTCAATGATGGACACCATCTTTTGAATTCAGCTATCCATGTGTCCATAGTTGACTTTGGACAAATGACCAGATGGGGTTCAGGAATATTCATATAGTGCTTCATGTATCCAAGTAAAGATATTGTCTGCAGTGTCTTTCCTAGTCCCTGAAAGAAAATAAACTGTCTACTAATAACACGAACTATGTAAAACATCCACTTTTAAATTGGACATTTGTAATTTATCTATAGTAGCTTTGCAGCTGCAGAAATATTGCAATTTAACAAAACTTCACCTGAAATTGTTTATTTTATCAGAAAAAAGACAAGGGTTAATGTATTATCGAAAAAGATTACTAAATTTTTTTGTTAGTCAGACTACAATGTTATGATATGATGTACAAAATATGTTTGTAGATTTCACAATTCAAGTTGTAATATTGGCTGGATGATTCTGGACTTTAATCAAAATCCAACCGACCCAAGCTACTACTGATTATTTTATTCTTAAGTGAAAAAAAACCTTAACTTTTATTTGACTTGGAGGTATAGTAATACTATATGATAAAACGTTGTCAATGTTCCAAAGAGTTTAGCCTTTATTTCAATATTATTTGCAGTATTTATGAATATCATAAAGTTTATTGACTTGTTATCTTTTAATTTAAGTTTGAGCTAAAGCATTTGGGAACCAACAATTCCCTAATAATATAAAAGTATACACTTTCTCCAACTACCATTCCTATTACAAATAATTTCATACCATTTCATCTGCCAATATGCCGTTTATACCATTTTTATGTAAGGATATCATCCAGTTCAAGCCTCTAAGCTGGTAATCTCTCATTTCTCCACCCTGTATAACTATAAAAGTAAATAATGTAATAATACTTTAACAAATAAGTTCCCACTCAATATAAGTATAAGATGTAAGGAATAACTATCAAAATATTTAATGTTATTTGTGTGAGATTTAGAAACTTGCTTTGTTACCATGTACAGTGTTCTTTTAAGGGCACATTGTATATTTCATACCTTAAGAATTCAATCTCAAAGGCAAAAAAAAACCTAAAAAAAATATAGTGACAAGGGTTTCCTTCTTAACTTTTTTTAGGTCGTGATATTTTCATTTTTTATGATTTTGGAAAATATCGTGTTTTATCAGGTCTGTTGCAGAATTAACAGATATTGCTTTACCTATATACATACATTATATGGAGCTTGTCCTCACAGAACAAAACAAGAATGTGTCTATAGTACACGGATGCCCCACTCGCACTATCATTTTCTATGTTCAGTGGACCGTGAAATTGGGGTCAAACCTCTAATTTGGCATTAAAATTAGAAAGATCATATCATAGGGAACATGTGTACTAAGTTTCAAGTTGATTGGACTTCAACTTCATCAAAAGCAACCTTGACCAAAAACTTTAACCTGAAGCGGGACAGACGGACGAACGGATGCACAGACCGAAAAACATAAATAAATGCCTCTCTACTATCGTATGCAAGTTTTGTTCAAATCCTTTAAAAAAAACTTATGTTATCACCAGACATAGTCAAATGGACAGAGTCAAACAACGGTATAAAATTATAAATTGTTCATTGATGGGTGAATAATAAATGAATGAAAAGTGGACATGAAGTTTGTGAACTTGTACTCAATTCATAAATCAAATTCTATTTAAACAAACTGTCATCACTTGAACAAGGTTTCATAGATTATTATTCGTCCATACAGTATTTTGCATCAAGTTCTTTCTAGCCAACATGGCTGAGATTTATTTTCATAATCTTTTCATTTTCTTGATATATTTATATAAGGGATGGTCAAAGTTTCACATGTTTGCGAAGATTTAAATTCACGCTATTTTTTTCTACTCGCGAAAAATTAGTTGGTTAACGTAGTAGTTACAGAAGATAAGGAGATAGGAATGGTTGAGTTTATCTTTTCCTTTATTTGGGATTTTGCATAAATAAATTCTGATCAAACATCTGGTAGTTCTGTTAATTAAGAATTAATAAATGTAAGATATGATAGAGTAAGATATTTTGAATTTTACATTTGTATTCAACTATGTAGATGACTTACATGATGGTGTTTTTTCGAATCGTAATGGCGTATCACATTCTTCTATATTAATCAGTTCTTTGTCTTCTTCTCTTTCCCCCTCGCAATGGCGGTTTCTAAAATTATACATGTATATCTAGTATTTCAAAGCTATAATGGTAGACTTACCAGTTGCACAAATAATTTACTTAATTTCTATTATAAACATCATGTCATAGACTGATGTTTGTTGATTATCAAAATATGATAAAAGTCATTTAAATTCTTGTACATCACTAAAATTTAATGGACAAAATTCCTAATCCTCATCCTGGAAATAAACCAAGCTTCAACTAAGGAACTAATGTCTAAAATGTTTTAAAATGTTGTAATCATTGTCAAATACATGAATAAAAAAATGTTGCATGCATGATAAATATTAAATTATTATACACAATTAAAATTTGAATTACAAAATCTTTAATATTACAAAAATGTATATCTTTTAGAAATGGCAAGACGAACCTGATTATTATCCATTTACAAATTAAATTTAACGAGAATAAAAAATATTCAAACCTTTCTTTTCCATCTTTTTTCGAATCTTTTTCATTTTAAACAATGGCCTTTGATATCTTCAACTGACATGAAGGCAATTTGCTCTTTCCAGTCTCAATTCCTGTTTGTATGAAATGGGAAAATACCTCAGTCTGTTTAAGAAGGAATTCAAATCTTCTCTTTCTATCTGTTTCCTGTGACATAATAAATCTTGATTTACATGTGAATCCATCTTAAATACATATAGACGACATGTGTAGCCGGCCACATTTTTTGTTTCAAAACATCTGCTATAGCCAAGAAAAACACAAATTTTACTCATTCTAACTAGACATGCTAAAAGTTATGATGAGGCCGCAATTAAAAATATCTTTGTTTCCCCTTACCCTACCCACCATTTTGGAAGTGGGTAGGTAGGTAGGCTTTTTTTTTTTTTTTTTTTAGAGAAAATCCCTGAAATATATCTAACACACAGGAAAACAGAGAAAAACAACAAATTGAACTTTATTGATACTAAAACAACATACTGTATAACGTATTATGCATGACTAGAAGACCTTACAATTTCAGACTAGAAAATGTTTGTAAATATATAAGTCTTTGTGACTTAGAGTAGACCACATATAAATTGAGACACGGTTCTATATTTTTCTTATATTTTTATAAATTCAATTGAAAATATAAAACCCCAACGAGACTGCTACCTAGTAACATTCGATGCAAAAAATATGTACACTTGTTTTTCATTTAAGGAAATACTAGAAGCCACAAACCGTGATCCAAGCGAGTATGGCTATGCCTATTAAGGCTTATTCTAGAAAACTATGAATTTATTTTTAACAATAAACTTTACCATGAAACCTTGGGCGTGCCTATGTGCGGATCAGCATTCGCTGAGTTAGCAGACCTTACAATGTTTGTTAATTCTTGAACACATTTTACAACGCTTTCAACACAGAGACACAAAATGATAATGATAGTTGAAGTTCGCCTACGTATTTTCCTGTAATGAAACAATACTCTTAGACACTGTCATAATTATACAAAGGAGAAAGATTCTTTAACGAAGGAGTAGTATGATACAAGACATTAAAACCAATATCAAACCAACTGAAACATATCAATATCTGCACAGACACAGCTCACACCCAAAAAGTGTTTTCATTGAAAGGATTTATCAAGGGTGAAGTATTGAGGTATCCCAGAAACACAAGCAGCAAAACTGATCTTAAAAAAAACAGTAAGAAGCTCAAACGAGGATATCAAATATCTGAAATCAACGATTTTTTTTTATCAAACACAAAATACAGAAAGGGAAAACTTGCTAACACATCGCCCAGCGAAAAGGGAGCAACCGCTAGTAATGTTAACAAAATTCAACCCATCTATACAGAAACTAAAAATATAATAATAAAACACTGGCATCTTATTTCACAAAACCCTGAATGTGTGACCATATTTAATCATCAGCCCATTATAGCTTATAAAAGACATAAAAACTTACAAGAACTGTTATCAAAGAATTAGCTGGTATAGTCATCTCGACTTTTCACAACACAATATGATACTGAGCTCGAAAAAAATCAACTACTATTTTATCCAAAGACAACTGGTGTATGGTCCAATATAACATACGAAATGAAACAAAATAGCATAAATAGCACGCCAATATACAACTTATTGAGTCGACCACTGATGAAGGCGAACTCAGGGATTTACCACAAACACGGCAGAAACACCGGGCCTAACATTTAAGCTCAAGGGTGAGCTCGGATGCGCAATCGTAACTACTCGGCCATTCTCGCTACGTATTTTGTTATTGGAGGCGTAGCTAGAATGGCAGAGTAGTTACGATTGCTCGGATGCATTTATTTAAAACATTATTCCATTCCAATTTCAGTATCCTTGCATACGTTGTTTACCCTTTGCTGCAAACACACGGGCGACAATGATTTCGCAGAATGTTGAAAATACGGACCACTCAAGGAAACGAAATTAAAAAACGAACTTTTGAGCGAAACGAAAAAAAAAAAAAGAAAAACAACAACGTGATTTTCGAAAAAATTATTTCAGTCGGCGGATTTTTAGTGGGTCGGTCGGGTAAGGGGAAACAAACTTAATTTTAATTTTGGCCTGACCATGTTTTTTACACTAAAGAGTAGCATTATTAAACATGGTTTTTAAACTGACAAGACATCCTCGAGATGATTAATGCAAATTTTGTTGGAATTGGGTGTTTTTGAGCACTACAAAATTTTAAAGGGCTACCTTTTTCCTCTACAAAAAGTGTCACATCTCTTTTTATTTCTAATGCTGCACTGATGAACTATTTAGCCTCTTTCTTTTTTTTCTGCATGATTCTTGCAACTTTTTCAATTGAGTAGAAAAATAGTACAATACAAGTTTGGCCATCCCCAGTATTCATACCTGCCAACTTTTGAAAATCCCGATGGGGGTTTTAGTGCGAGACAATTTCAAAGGTTACAATTTTTTGTGGAGTTTTTAGTGCGCCCTCTTCAGTACTCTAGAAAAAGTGTCACATCTTTTTTTTTATGGTTTACTCAAATTAATTATTGCTAATGTGATCCTATACACAGGAGGAAGATAAATAGAGAGAAGTCAGTGTGTTTCCTTTCAGTGCAATGTCTAGTGCATATGGATTTGATCTAAAGCTTTTACATTTAAGTGATAACAAAATTATTCTCTCCAACAGAAATGTTTTGAAAGTTTCATATTGTTTTAAAATGATTTTACATTGATATTTGCAAACGGCAAATCTTTTAATCAGGACATTATAAGAATTGTATGTCAAGCTTGACTGGCTTCAACTTTCTGGGGTACAATTAAAGAGACAATTCTCGAATTGTTCCTTTTCAATCAAATGTAATGTTTTTATAGCTGTCATCAGCACGGTAAATAAGCAAATCCTAAGTTTTTACTTTTCAATTGTTTACCTTTTCAAAGGAAAAAAGCTGATAAAACTGAAAGTATATTTGACTTCTAATATCGGTCAGAAATACGTGTGAAAACGGGTCATTTCCTGAAATCCCACGTTATTTGAATACCCGTTGGGTATTTAAAAAATCCCCTGTGAAAGGGGCATGGGTGTAACCTGCCGAATACGGGTCAGTTGACAGGTATGGAATTAGTACTAATTCAGTTCTTAGGGGTAATGATATTGCACAATTTGAATTATATTTCAAAGTATTTAAATCAAGCTAATTTTTCTAAATAGAATTACAGGCGACTCTAGATAAACCTGGCTATTACTTATGGCTAACAAGTGTCAAAGCTTAATTGCTATAAAAGCAGCTCAAGGATCTATATGCCAAATACTCATAAGTGTCATATTCATGGGACAAAATAAAAAAAAAAAAAATAATAGCTAGCAAATGTCGATCATCAACAAATTAGCATCCCTATGTCTAACCCACCTAAAATCAAAGTTCTATATGGTGTTCCGATGTTCCATAGCTATCAAACGGAAAACTTTGGAACTGATCAATTTTTGTTAATTTGTTGAAAACATCTAAAATTGGCTACTTTGGCACTGATCGATTTTTGTTAATTTTTTGAAAACATCTAAAATTGGCTAACAAAAAGTCTGATTTATTTGTGGGCAAATTACATTTCAATAATTAATCAATTATCATAGATTATTTGGTGGTCATGGTTTTTTTTTTTTTCTCTTCATGGACTTCAAAACTCAATACTTTTAACCTGGCATTGAAAAAACATTACAACGTTACCCCCTAGATGTCTCTGTAGGTTATCTAGTTTCTGGGTCTCTATCTCATTGACGTAAATCACACATTATATAAATAAAACATAGCGGAGATGGTGATAGAGCAGATTGTTACCCCGAGAAAAAATTGTCAACTGAGGCGAAGCCAAGGTTGACAATGTCTTTTCGAGGGGTAACAATCTGCTCTATCACCCTCTCAGATATGTGTTATTTAATTTATTATACTGAATGTTCTGTTATTACTGTCTATTTATTAGATGTGAAATTCAAAGAAAAAACTATGATATCTTGTACATAACAACCACCTGTATTTAATAAAGCTCACACTTGATCAAGCATCTCTGTGAAGGGTAATAGAGTGTATGTTTGCAATGGGAGAGAGTAAATTATCTCCCTCGTATTCTCCCTTGGATGGATGACAGTAGAAAACAGAATCAAATACCACAAATATTTACTGCTATATAAATGTATGCGGAAAGAAGCACCACAGTACCTACTTCAAAAGTTTCAACTTATATCAGTTAATAATCCTTATGCTTTAAGGGGTGTTACTCAATGTATTTAAATAATTCCTAAGCCAAAAACTGAACTGTTTAAAAAATATTATGCTTATTCTGGATCAGTTTTATGGAACGGACTACCATATGAAATGCGTAAAGTTCAAAACACTTTTTCTTTTAAACAAATTATAAAATGATACTTGAGGCAGTCCCAATATTCAGTCTTGAAATGATTGCAACTATTACTTTTTTTTTTTAAAAATGTATGATTTTGATTTGTATATAATATCTATTTACTACATGCAATCTGTAACTGTTTTATATGTTCTAATGGTACATGTATATTGAACTATCATGACTATACGATTGTGTAAATATGTTGTGTGTTTTTTTTTTTGTTTTTTTTTCTCTTATTATTATTTTTTACTTGTAATGTACATGAGGGCCTCAGGGAAATTAGTAATTGTAACTAACTGTGTTTACCCTCTTTAAGTAAAGAATTTATCATTATTATTATTATTAATATTAACCAATCAAAATCTGGCATTTTGACATGAAGTATAATAAATCCTTTTATCGCTATTTTACGAAATTTTCCTTTGATCTTGCTGACTGATAATTTCCTTTCTCAGCGGAGTCGAGTGATATGAAAAATTATAGCTAGAAACTAAGGGGGCCCGTGGCGTTGTCAATTGACAACGTCGTCATCGGTAAAATAGCGATAAACAGATTATCATTGATCATCTCAACTCGATTGCTTTTCTCACTTTCGCTGTACCGGCTCAAGCGAGAAAATCAATCTCGTTGAGATGATCAACGATAATCTATAATTATTTGTACACCAATAAACAATCATCACAAATACCAGTTACAAACCGGTTTCAAGAATTACACACATTTACAGTGCATCATTCAAAGATTTACTGGGAAATTAAGGGTAAACCCGAATATCTTTTTTTTCTAAGAAGTAACATTTTATTAGTTAAGAAACAAGTACTGCCACATTACATATTTCCAACGGCCTTTAGATCACAAGGTCATGTTTAAAAACTGCCTCAGGTAACCAGATTACTTTTAGGCACTTTTAAGCACTAGGCAGTTCTAGTCTGACCGGATTTTCTGTTTTAACATTAGGTCACAGGTTTCTGGTTTGCCAATCCCCCCTTTTTCCCCCGAAAAAAAAACCAAACCCAATAGCCCTTTAACCATTACTATGGCAAATGCATCACTTTGTGTGTGGTTACTTGATGAAGTTTTATTTGTTAATTTGACCTCTGACATGTTAACTTTCGTGGCTAACAACGCTGCTCTATGAGCATGTTCACTCTGGTTCAGTTTCAGCTGCTGCACATCGTATCTCTCTCCTTCAACATTTGGCGGGAAAAGTTGCTCCTTCTGTATGGACAACCACCGAAATCCACAAATGGTTTTGAGGTACTCGAGATCTCCTCTTAAGGCTATATAATTATGATACGAAAGTTGTATTCATCAAACTACAGTACTGAGGGTCCCAGGCTGGCATCAGAGGCTGATGATTTAGGGGGTGGTCATATGACTTTATTCAACACTATAAGATAAGATAGATAAGATATTTTATTTCCAATTATGGGCCCCAAAGGGCATAAACATTACAACATCAATAATTTTTTCATAATACAATACAAACAATGAGATAAAAAATAAAAAAAGTTAAACGAGAACTATTTAAGTTCTTAAAGAATACGTAGATAAAGAATCTATAGTATGTTGTTTTTTTTAATACTAATGCATTTTATTGCAAGTGTGGTTGATATAGATAACAAACAAGCAGCCCAAAAAGAAAAAAAGAAAAATAGATATCCACATATGTATAGTACACAAAAAGTTGGATCAATTAAATATATAATAATTAGCCAAAAAGAAAGTAGAAATTAAACATGTCCATGACTCATCCTGTGTCAGCAGCAAATAGGAAAGCATTATGGTTTCCTAAAGGCAGCTGACACCAGGGGGCGATACCTTATGGGCCATAGGCATGTAAAATGTGTGTAAATGTCTCTTTTATGTACAGTTCTCCAGACAGTGGAGGTAAGATACAGAAAAACAATATGGCGTCCAAACAGGACCCCACGAGCACAACTGATCCAATAAACAAGAGTTACCTTGGGAAACGGAGGCATTCTGACTCAGAGGAAAGACTTACAGGAGAATCATCGGACAACAATTCTCCTCCACGTTTGTTTACAGTGAACAGGACGTCGAGTGAGAGTTCTGAGATTCAGTCTCAGACTTCATCAAACGCGAGACCCATCAACCATATTCCAAAGGAGACAAGAGACTGGACAGAAGAAACTATTTTCAATAATCTGCAAATTAAAGACATGCTAAGCCCATCTCCCGTCGATGTTTTCAATACGGGATATGTTGACTCTTTCTTGAAAAACCATGTAAAAATTAGAGATTACATGTTAAAGGCCAACAACCAGGTCCAGGACCAAAAGCACAGATCAAAGTACGACTGCTATGCATTTGCACTTAACGAGGCATTTGATGTAGACTGCAGTGTTCTTAGTGATTTAACAATTTCTAAAGCATTGCAGTTAACTGAAGAGTTCAAAAAACCATTTCAGGAATCATGTTTTGCCAAGTGGCTGTTTGAATACAATCTAAATTTCATACAATTGGAAAAAGACAAAATTAAGGACATGAGAAATATCTGCCAAAAGTAAGTGTTAGGGTAGTTTTAAGTATAGCAGTCCCGGAAGTTTCAACATCGGTGCTTTACTGAAGATGACATTATGTTGCTAAGCAACATAATGCGGCTAAGTAAATAATGAATACAAGTAAACAATGTCAATGTGTAAAAGACTTACCTTCAACATTGAAAATCATAGGTTGGTAATGTCTTATAATACGGTTAATTTTGGTTTTTACTGATTTCCTTTGGCTCTTTTTCAACCAAGTTTTATTTCGGATTGGTGGTCGGGCAGGGAAGGCGGGTGGCTGCCAAATCGTGTCCGGGTTGTAACTTTTTTGTCTTAAGACCTAGGTCTTAGATCTTTAATATGTAGGTCACCTTAAGACGATGTGTCGCGTAGCAAGCATGTTGACATTGACCTTGTTCCTTCATCTTCGTGTCCGGCGTGTAACTTTTTTGTCCTTAGATCTTTGTTGTGTAGGTAGGTTACCTCAAGACAACCTGTCGCGAACCAAGGATGTTTACCTTGACCCTTCACCACAAAGGTCTTAAGACCTAGGCCTCCCATCTTTGATATGTAGGTAGGTTACATTAAGACGATGTTTCACGTACAAAGAATGTTGACCTTGACCTCAAGGTCAATGAATGGGTCAGTTTAGTAACGTTTTTGTCTTAAGACCGAGGCCTCTGATATTTGGTATGTAGGTAGGTTACTTCAAGACAATGTGTCGGGTACCATGGATGTTGACCTTGACCCTTGACCTCAAGGTCAATAGATAGGTTTTTTTATTAACTTTTTAGTCCTAAGACCTAGGCCTCTGACATTTGGTGTGTAGGTAGGTTATTTCAAGACGATGTGTCAGGTACCAAGAATTTTGACCTTGACCTTTGATGTAATGGTCAATAAATAGGTCATTTTTGTAACTTTTTTGTCTTAAGACCTAGGCCCCTGAGATTTGGTGTGTAGGTAGGTTAGTTCAAGACGATGTGTTTGGGTCTAAAGATGTTGACCTTGAACCTGTACCTCAAGGTCATTTTATTAACCCTTTTGACTTAAGACCTAGGCATCTGATATTTGGTGGATAGGCATGCGCGTAGCTACGTTTACGTCAAAACGCCCGGGCGTACACATAAATTTTGAAGAAAAAAATATGTGAACCCAAATAAATTATAAGAACTGATTAAAAAAGCAACGAGCCTTGTATTTTTTCTTCAATGACTTGTAATTGGAGATAAACGACAAAGTGACGAAATATACTTTTTAATCAAATGGTATCATATGATTTATTAGGTACTTTTAGGTCATATACATGTAGCTCTGTAACTGTTTCGGTTCTTATACATCCTCGGCTTTAAAATATTCGGCTTTGAGCGTTCCTGGTGAAGGTAAATCCAGAAAAGCGCTTCAAACTCATGAAATTAATAATTGTTGTTTTCATATTTTATATTATATATTTTTTTCATTTTCTGTCAAAGTCTCAATCTACTGTGAATTCTACTCAGTTTACTATTGTTTAAAGCAATTCATTATCTGGTCAGATACGATGTGGCTTGCATTTTTATGTTACAGTTCAATATTTATTTTTACGTTACACCTGCCCATCTATGAAAATTAATTAGAAGATATGTCCATTAACAACATTTGAGTGTAAAAAGGTGAGTAAACTAGATCTATAAGGTCAAAAAAATTAATAGAACGACAACATTGAAATGGAGACTTGCTTTTTGACTATCTCTATATAAAGTTTTGATTTTTTGTCGATTGATTGTTTACCCCACATCTCCTTTTAAACCAATCTAATTAAAATATATAGTTCTGATTTCGTTATACTCATAAGATACGAGCATACGAGTAAATACAGATATAAATTTTAGATTGCTTCTAAACATATTTTTAAGCAACTGTTTTGGGCATTTTTTCTCTTAAATACATTACCATTATATTCCAAATCAGTACATTTAACTGTAAAAAACACTTTAGACTCTAAAAGAGACGCGAAAGGGATATTCAAAGTCATCAGTTGAAAACAAACTGACAATACCATGTCAAAAAACGAAAAACTATGAAAAGACAAACAACAGTATACAAAACACAACATAGAAACAAGACTTAACAACACGGACCCCACCAAATCCTGGGGGTGATCTCAGGTGCTTCGGAAGGGTAAGCAAATTCTACTCCACGTGTGCAAACCCAGTGATTAGTCTAATTCGGTAGATCACATTAGAGGAAAAGAGGACGGGATTGTGGTAATATCAACAATTGGAACATATCCGTCGTCATTAACCTACTCGTTATGTCGAACGTAAAATTTTCGAAGGGATGATTTCAACTTCACCACTTGGAACTCTTGTGCCTAGTTCACACGTACATTTAATTCGAATTGAATTCGAATCGAATGCGAATCGAATTCGCTATTCGCGTTCACACACTCTTACTTTTTAATTCGAATTGATTCGAATTGGCTAATTCGCATTAGCCAATTCGCGTTAGAAATCCGTTAACGTCGTTCGGACAGTAAAGCAAATTTGACGCGTATTGCAATTCGAATTAGAATTAACGTCCAAATGCGAATTAAACTAATTCGAATTAGTTAATGCGAATCGAATTCGAATTACGTGTGAACGCAGCATTAGTTCAGTAGCTTCCTTGTAAGCATCCACTATCTATCAAGGAAAAAGTTAAATCACAAAAATACTGAACTCCGAGGAAAATTCAAAACGGAAAGTCCCTAATCAACTGGCAAAATCAAAAGCACAAACACATCAAACGAATAGACAACAACTGTCATATTCCTGACTTGGTACAGGCATTTTCTTATGTAGAAAATGGTGGATTGAACCTGGTTTTATAGCGCCAAACCTCTCACTTGTACGACAGTCGCATCAAATTCCATTATATTGACAACGATGCGTGAACAAAATGTCACAAATAGGGGTACAACAACAACACGAACCCCACCAAAAACTGGGGTTGATTTCAGGTGCTCCGGAAGGGCAAGCAGGTCCTGCTCCAAAAGTGGCACCCGTCGTTTTCATGTTATTACAAAGCCGGTAAATAGTGTAATTCGGTAGGTCACATTCGTGAAAAGGGAACGGGATTGTAGTTACGACATAAGGAACATATCCGATATCATCTGTATAACGGATATTCCATAACGGTCAACTAACTCGTGATTGCGTTCGTAAAATTTACGAAGTGATGATTTCAACTTCACCACTTGAAATGATGATAGGAAATGCAAGCTCTGGAATATCTTATCAACTGGCATGTATATACTCCATATGCAGGTGCTGCTGGAATGTTGCTACATAGAAAAGAAAAGTTTACAATTGGAGGCTGAAATCATCTCCTTTGTCGTAAAGTTTTGTTCTTAACCGACCAAGTATGTTGCTATTGATGAGTTTTTAATGACAGATATTGGTATCTCTTTCTCAATAACGCGTGAACATCCGGGGGGTTTCGTCCCCAACCAGGAGGTCGGGGTTCGGGCGTACACTTAAAAATGGCCTAGCTACGCCACTGATAGGTAGATTACTTTAAGTAGATGTGTCGGGTACCAAAGGATGTTGACCTTGACCCTTGATCTCGAAGTCAATAAATAGGTCATTTTTTGTAGCTTTATTGTCTTATGACCTTTGCCTCAGATATTTGGTGTGTAGGTAGGTTACCTCAAAGTGATATGTCAAGTACCAAGGATGTTGACCATGACCATCGACCTCAATAATACATTAACATTTGATTTAGAAATTCATTTGGGAGGTTAATAGAAAGGAAACCCTGTTTGCTGTCACCTTGACAGCTCTCTTGTCTTTCATTTGATCTGACATATTGTTTTTCTTATTTTTGTCCACATCATACACTTGTTTGATTAATGATATCATATGAATTTTTAAAATTTCTCTTCACTGTCATTCATGTACAGTTTTCTGACACAATATTGTGCAAAGTAACTGTCGTATAAACTTTTCACAGTGCCACAAGTTGGAAGAGATCTTTTTAATGGCCTCCAGGTAGATTCACTGGTTTTTGTATTTGCACCAGTTTCAGGGTCCACAAAATTAACGGAGTGATTAACGTTCAAATGTTTGTAACCTTCCTCCTCTAGTCTATCATAAGCTTTTCAGCAGTCGCTAATAATTGTCGTGCCTGGTTAAATATGCTCTTTTATTATTTTTACTAATGTTTCAGCTTTCATGTCATCGACAGTTCAAAAAAACACCTTTTGGAATCTTGTTCTATGCCCCCATTATACCCAAACACTATCAACCTTTCTTCCTTTGTGAAATTTTCGCTTCCATAAATTACTCTCGTCAATTTCCACAATTATGCCTTTCCCTCCAATTACTTCTTTTTCATTTTTTAGCAAATATTCAGTACAAACTTCTCGAGCATAATTATACCAATCAACAATAGTAGGTGCAGAAATTCTAAGTTCATGGACAACAAAATCCTGATTGCATTTATATACCTCAAAATAAGTTATAAAAATTATTTCTTCCATTGAAGGTCAATTTGTGATTTTCAAACCAGGAACTGTTCATGCTGTTTCTTAAAGATATTTTTTTATTGCATTTTTTGTTGGAACATCTCGATACATACCCGTCACTTTTGATACAAATCTTTCAGTTTTAAAGGCATGGGATTTACGGATTTTATTTTGTTTATATCAAATTTCTTTATATTTAAACTGCACGTTGCTACTGAATATTCATTATGACGTCATGTACAATGTACAAAGGTCTTCCGAATAAAGGTGTTGACAACAAATATGGATTCATAAATTTTTTACAGGGCACTGAAATCATGATCATTTAATTAATAGATTTTATTTCAAAAACTGTTTTAAAAAACATAATTTTTTTTAACACAATTTTGCACGGAGAATCTGATTTTTGGGTTATTTTTCCATTTTATTGCTTAATTTCCGATTTCAACTTTTTTCAGCGAAATTCTCTATATAGACTACAATGTACATTGCATATTATTTGGCACGTTTTTTAATGGACCGCTATACTTAAAGTGCTCCAAGTGTTATTTATATCATCTCCATTGTAGCCAAAAAAGTCTTCAACAGGCTAAGGATGATCTTCATTAATGGGTATTATACCCCAAAACTGGTATCAGTTAACAATGATAAAAAAAATAATTTTTTATTTCAGAATATATTTTGTCATGGCGCAAACATTGATGTTAACAGCAACATAAATTTCCCTTTTAAGACCATACAGTAACTGAAAAGTGAACTTGATGAAAAATAATAGCCTCCAAAATTTGATTTTAAGAAGGCCAGTAACTTTTAACCAGTGGGTATTTCATTTATGATTCTTTTAAACAAAAAAATGCTTTTATGATGTACATGTTTGTTTGCGCCATGACATGAAATATCGGTGAAATACAATGAAATATAGGTGTTTTACCCTCTGTATGTACAAACTTTTGTTAACTACATGAAGGTCTTTCCACCCTCTAAATAGGAAATTATATGGTTCTTATTACTCTAATAAAAAAGTTATTAAAAATAAGTATTTTTTATAGAAATAAGAAAGATAAACTCTACTTCTGGTTTAAATAGATCGATTCTTATGCAGTGTTGAAGAAATCTGTGTGCAGATTCTAAAAATATATAGTTGCTAGGTACTTTTCATTATAATAAGGGAGATAATTAGGTACTTCCAGTTCATAAGCACCATTGTATGTTTCATCCTTAAGCTTAATTTATGCTGATTCTATAAATATATGGTTGTTATGTAGTTTTTCTTTAAATAAGGGAGATAATTAGCTACTTCTGGTTTCTTTGAATTCACTCCTGCTGGCAAGTGAGAGCCCTTTTCACACTGATTCTAAATATATATGGTTAAGGGTACTTTTTACATGAAATTAATGCTAAAAATGACAACTTCCTGTTTACCAAAGGGCACTTCCAGTTGATTTTTTCAAGGTCAATTATAAATAAACATTATGCAAGAGACCCCATGTCTTTATCGTGTATAATAATGAAGTTATATACATTTAATCAATAATTTTATCTTTTCAGGGGCAATAACTCCTACAAATGTTGAAATACACTCATCAAACTGTACTTTATAACTTCCCCTTTATTTCCCAAACATTTTCCTCTATTACATTCCTTGTCTCTTAATAACACTTTAAGAGAAAAAGCAAAGGTAAAAAACTAGAAAGTTGATTTGACCTATGACCTTGACCTCACATGAAAGGTAATTACTCATGGATTACAAATCAGAAAACCTTGCGTCTCTATTATGTATGGTTTACAAGATATAACAATTTGAAAATTGCCAGGGGCAATAACTCCTATAATGGATGCTTTTTTCTTTATAGAACAAAATTGCATCTTGAGGAGACAAAAAAGTTTCCCATTACAATTCAACAGAAATTATTTACGGATTAAAAGTTTTAGTGATAACAAGGGTAACCTTAACAGGTGAAAAGTGACCTTGGCCTTTGACCTTGATCTCATTTTTATACGACCGCAAAATTTTTATTTTATTTTATATTGGTATCACGTTGTCGTCGTAAGAGTCGTCTGAAGACATTTTGTTTCCGGACAATAACTTTGGTAAATGTAAATAGAAATCTATGAAATTTAAACACAAGGTTTTTAACCACAAAAGGAAGGTTGGGATTGAATTTGGGGATTATAGTCCTAACAGTTTAGGAATTAGGGGCCAAAAAGGGGCCCAATTAAGCATTTTTCCAGCTTCCAGACAATAACTTGTGGAACGGTGTATGGATCTCTCTGAAATTATACCACAAGTTTTCATACCACAAAGGGATGGTTAGGATAGGCTTTGGGGGGTTATGGTTCAAACCGTTTATGAATTAGGGGCAAAAAAGGGTTTCCTGGTTAATGGACAATTAAAAAAAAGTACAATATTATGTTTGGATTACCTCCCTTACACTGCTTTAAATTATGTATAAAGAAATGTTGTATTGTCTTGAGGTGATTTTAAGACTTTTATGATGTATATAAATGGGTAAATTATGGTTGCAAACTCTATTGGAAATTTGAATTGAGATTATGACCATATCTTGAGGGAAAGAATTTTTTGGGGGGAAAAGGGGGGGGGGGGGAGGGTAAAAAAGAAATTGTGAGGGAGGGACATTTTTTTTGGGGGGGGGGGGGGGGGGGGGGTCAATTCACAACAGCATAGTGTATTGCACAAAAGTATAATATAAATTCAAATCATATAACCAATTCTAAGTTCTTTGACTTCAGTTATTCTGTGTCAGAAACCTATTATGTGTCAAACATTCAATTTCAATCCAAATTCAGACCTGTATCAAGCGCGAATATTGTGTCCATTTTTGGCCCAACTGTTCAGGGTTGGACCTCTGCGGTCGTATCCAGCTGCGCTCGTGAAGCAATTTATTTATAGAATCTTTACACATGTTATATGTAAATACAATTGTACATATACATTTTGTAGGTGGCCTTGTGATGTTTATTTCCTGTTTTTGGTGGAGTTCCTGGCTCTTAATTTGACATACACTATTCCCTATTTCCATTCTTTATTATACATTGTTATATGTACAAAAATATACATTTACTGTGTCCAGGTATTGCTGTCTGACAGTCTGAATTTGCAGGTACAAAACTGTACATTGTATTAGCACATTCTTTTTTTTTTTGTTTTTATGAAGCATATATCCAAGATTACAGCAATTTTGTGGTCAGCTTCTATTTATGGTGGAGCGTACACATAGGCAGAATTCAGATAACCTGACACAGGCTATGTATCAAGAATTATTTGTGACCTTTTTGAGAATATTTGGTGTTACTGTTTTGTAAGTATATACAATGTACATGTTTATTTATATTCTTTTATTACTGCAATAATGATATCAACATACTAAAAACCCTACTTGGATGGATTTTGGTGCCAGTGGTTTAATTATATAGTATTCATTGTGTTTTTCTGTCCGTTTGTCCGACCTTTGTATCCACTACTCCTTCTAAACTACAGAATGAAATTTGATGAAACTTTCAGAGAATCTTCATCCCATGATAGCATCATGCACCTCCTATTTTAGAATTTGATTAGACCAATTTTTGGGATTTCCCATAGCAAAACATGGACTTTGACTTTCATTGTGGTAGGGGGTACCATGATGCCATCTGCAACTCCTCCTAAACCACTGAATGGCATTTGATGAAGCTTTCAGAGGATCTTTATTACATGATGTCATATAGTGCACCTTCTATTTTAGATTTTGATCTGATGAATATGTGGGGTTTCCCATACCTAAACATGGAGGATATTCATTGTGATAGAGGGTACCATGATGCCATCCGCAACTCCTCCTAAACCACTGAATGGAATTTGATGAAACTTTCAGAGGATCTTTATTACATGATGCCATAGTGCATTTTATTTTTAGATTTTGATTTGAACATTTGGGGTTTCCAATACCAAAACATGGACTTTTCCATTCATTTTGATGGGGGGTACCAATATCCCACCAGCAACTCCTCGTAAACCACTGAATGGAATTCAATAAGAAATATATACATAAATATGTTAATGAAATAATAATATAGTGACATTATGCTTTGCATAGTGTTATACACGTATACATGCATGTGAATAAAAAGAAACACAACAAAGTTTGGCAAACCAACTAAGGGCATAGCTCTTGCTGGCGATGTTACATGTTCAGCAGTCTATTGTATTACGCCAAAGACTTCACGATGTGTATGTAGCAGAGATGCTGAAATGAAGTTATGTCACATCTGCTTTAAATTGTTTGAGGTTCTTTACTTAGCATTATGCGAAACAGCGTTTCATCATCGTATTCACTTAATTCCACACACAACTGTAACGGAAAATTTTCTATTAACATATCCCACCATATATTACGGTTGTCTGCTGTGGCTGTAAAGTTAGAAGAGACATCTGAAAATTGTCTAAGACATAGTTGACAGTCAAAAACTTCATTTTACGCCACAGTTGAAATAAGTTTAGCTATAATATTGCGGTCCTAAGTTCTGCTAATGTTTTTAGAAATGTCAAAATTTTTACTTTTGATATATTGTTGTAAATATCTTTAAAGCGATTAAAGTCTTTTACAAGATTTAATTCTTGCTATCCAGTTGTTATACGACCGCAAAAATTTTTGCGGTCGTATATTGGTATGACGTTGGCATCGTCGTCGTCCGAAGACATTTGGTTTTCGCACTATAACTTTAGTATTAGTTAATAGAAATCTATGAAATTTAAACACAAGGTTTATGACCACAAAAGGAAGGTTGGGATTGATTTTGGGAGTTTTGGTCCCAACAGTTTAAGAATTAGGGGCCAAAAAAGGGCCCAATAAGCATTTTTCTTGGTTTTCGCACAAAAACTCTAGTATAAGTAAATAGAAATCTATGAAATTTTAACACAAGGTTTATGACCACAAAAGGAAGGTTGGAATTGATTTTGGGAGTTTTGGTCCCAACAGTTTAGGAATTAGGGGCTAAAAAAGGGCCCAAATAAGCATTTTTCTTGGTTTTTGCACAATAACTTTAGTATAAGTAAATAGAAATCTATGAAATTTAAACACAAGGTTTATGACCACAAAAGGAAAGTTGGGATTGATTTTGGGAGTTTTTTTCCCAACAGTTTAGGAATTAGGGGCCAAAAGGGTCCAAAATTAAACTTTGTTTGATTTCATCAAAAATTGAACTATTGCCTATTGGGGTTCTTTGATATGCCAAATCTAACCGTGTATTTAGATTCTTAATTTTTGGTCCCGTTTTCAAATTGGTCTACATTAAGGTTCAAAGGGTCCAAAATTAAACTTAGTTTGATTTAAACAAAAATTGAATTCTTGGGGTTCTTTGATATGCTGAATCTAAACATGTACTTAGTTTTTAAGCAGTTAAGCTGCTTTATGCGAGCACCCTAGATTTGTGTTCTACCCAATAAATGCTGAAATATGTGCCATTGTTATTATCTGGCTGGCTATTATGTTATTTATAACTAATTGAACACTTTTTTCATACTTTTAATTCTGGAATACAAACAAAATGACCAGAAAAACCTTAAATGATCGTCGAACCACCCAAAAGTTTTGAAGTTGCACATAGGAAGTAGTGCTCAATAGAAATCCTTATGTAGTTTATTTTCCCCTGTGCTTTTGGCCAAGATGTCAAAGAACAATTGCATGAATTATTTCATCGCCGAAAATCTCTAATTACAAGTCGTTTACAGTTGCCAAATGGCACAAAGCGCAGGAATATTGTATAACGGCTGTGACTAAAAATTATATGACACGGAGTTGAAGTCTCAGTTGGCGGTAATTTTAACTTCGTCGACAAAACGTAAATCAAGGACGTTTTAAATTTGGTGATTTCTGATAATAATCATTTTGTTCAACCGCTAGCTGTATACCGAAAATCGCCAACATGTTATGTGTAAATCCGAGTAAATCGTATCTGACTGACAAAAACAACATTGAAAAACAATGGATGCCATAAACCGGAAATGAAGACAATTATAATACCGGACCTAATTCCGGGGGCGGATAAGGGTAATTCCGGGTTTGCCGATCAAATACAATAAAAATATAATAATTCCAGGCATGAGACAAAATACATCTATCATGATGAAATATAAACTCTAGAATTGAAAACCAAAGATATATTGAAAAGAAAGAAAAAGCAGGAAATATTTTATACAGAAACTCAAAATTACTTTTAGTTCACAAATTTTCATGTCAAAAACCAATAAAATGTGACAGTATTTTCCTTATCATTAATAAATATTGATATTACATGTAGATGTTTTTATTGTTTAAACATATTACTACAATTCCATGAGGTAATTTCTTCTCAATTTTGAAGGGCCTATAAAATCTGGAAGTTTCTTACTTTATTTTCACAGAGGAACTAGCTAATATAATATATAGTGCAACTAGATATGATACACTTAAACAGTTTTGAATTTGAACTGTTTAATATAATGGTATAATTAGTAATAAATAATCAGTTGTTGAGACAACACACCCACCCACAGTGATACCCTCAGCCTCCCTCAGCCTTCCTAATACAAAAAAAAAGATTATTTGAATTCATAAATTAATATACAAGACAATTACATTTATTATTAAACATGTTAAACGACAGTGACACTGACAATGAAACAAGCTAACTTAACACCAAAAGCACATTAAAGTGTCTTACTAAGTTATGAACTATTTCAAGTAAAAGCAGGACCTGGAATTTAGGTTGTGGACCTTTCAGTTTGGAGTGTCAAAGGTCCTGGACTGTCCAGTACCAAATGTTAATTTTAACCCCTGCATTCACAGTAAAGCGATTTTGACGTGTATTGCAATTCCAAGTAGAATTTACTTTTGGACATTAAACGTTTCGAATGCGTATTAAACTAATTCAAATCAGTTAATAATGTGAATCGAATTCGAATTATGTGTAAACGCAGCATTGATATATCTAAGAAATGAAGAATATTAAAAAAAAGATAGACAAAATATTTGTATTAAATTTGTTGCAATTTTTGTCTTGCCTTGACAGAGTCAAAAAGTGAGACATATATATATATATATAGGCATGCTGTTTTGGCGGAATCAACAATGTATTAGTTTGTGATTTTGTGATAAGGTCTGGTTTCTGGTAGGTCAATGACATTTGGTAAGTAGTTGTGTTAGCATAGGCACATCTCATTACCATAGAGAATATTTGGCCCCACCCCCTTAGTCATGGTCTATTGACTTTGAAACTTTGCATAGTTTACATGTATATGTTTGTGATTAGGTCAGTTTAGGGGGAACCACTAGTGGTAGGTCAATGATATTTGGTGTGCAGTTGTATAAACTTTTTCATTTCTAATTTCCATTGAGATTATTTGGCCCCGCCCCCTCAATCATGCTCTTTTTACTTGGAAACTTATGTTACTTTGAAATTTCATTTATTAGTTTTTGATTAGGTTAGTATTAGGGAAACCAATAGTGGTAGGTCAATGATAATTGGCATGTAGGTGTAGAAGCATTAGTACGTCTCATTTCCATAGAGGATATTTGGTCCTCACCCCTCAGTCATATGCATGATCTATTGACTTTGAAACTTGTACTTAGTTTACATGAATGAGTTTGTGATTATTATGATTATGTCAGTTTAAAATTTACAGTAATCTTAAGTCAAAGCTATTTGGTATGCGAACGTATTGGTATTCAAAAGTTTCATTTCCATGGATATTATATAACCCCACCCCCTCATTATGGTTCATTGACTTAGAAATTGAATTTGTGTTAAGGTTTGTTTAAAGGGAACGACTTATGAAAAGTCAATGGTATTTGGTTTGCAGTTGTACAAGCATTGGCACCTTTCATTTCCATAGAGATTGTTTAGCCCTGTACCTTCAGTCATGGTTCATTGACTTTGAATATCACTTACATGTTAAAGTATTACTATTTTAAGTGTAACATTTGCATTATCAAAATAACAAATAGGCAAAATATATCGTTGTGTTAATAGCTTATTATAGATTAGACATGTGTAATTATTATAAAACTGATAAGGAGATGTGGTATGATTGCAAATGAGACAACTATCCACCAAAATTCAAATGAAGTGGATGTAAGCAATTACAGGCAACCGTACAGCCTTCAAAAATATATGTTGCATCATTGCTAGGCCATTATAACAACATCAGCATTTCTTGTAATACTAGTAAACAAGAAAATTGCACCATTTCAGATAGTTTCAGGTATGATTTGATAATTGTGCATAGTGGCACCAGCTGATCCAACTAAAAGCGCTAATATGGCATATTCAAACTCTAGTACATAGTGGAATTAAACCATACACCACTGTTGGACACCATAATTGAAATTATTATTCTGAAAAGAATATTCCCCCATGCAGTCTGCAACAATTAGCAAAACCTATACTGCATAGTAAGATATAAACGACCACGAAATGACAAATGTAAAACAATAAAACTAAAGCAGCCTGATTTATGTACAAAACAATTATGAAAAATAAATATGATATACAGCAACAATCAACAATCACCAAATTACTGGGTCCTCACTATGGACAGGTACATACAGAATGTGGCGGGTTAAACATGTTAGCTGGCACAAAACTCTCCCCTAACATGGGACAGTGTATGTGCATATCTCAGACATTAAATCTTTAAAAAATAAATTGGAAATAACTTTTGAAAGTGGTAGGATTGGATAGCAGAAACATTACGGTACAAACATTATTTGATACTTGAGAAATAGCTGAGATATATAGATTCTACCACTGCATCGAGTGTGATACGATATTTATCCACTCGAGACAGTTAAATTTTCAAATTTAAAACGCGAGGCTCGCCGAGCGTTTTAAATATTTAAAATTTAACTGTCGAGAGTGGATAAATATCGTATTGCACGAGATTTGGTGGTGGAATCTGTTTCTCTAATGATTTTCAAACAATATGCAGGCAAACTTATTCCGTCTTTTCGAATGATCTGTAAAAAGATGTGTTCTTTCTATGTGACGTCATCAGGCATGGTCGCCTTTTTTCATGCCGTCACAATAGGAAATTCAGAGGAAAGCAAGTAAATTCGACGTCATAATCGGATTTTAACCAATGAAGAACTGAGATCAAACGAACCACACGTTGATTAAATTTTTTTTATACAATGGGTGCAGAAAGGGATAAATTGAAGAATTAGAGAAAAATATTTTCATCCATTCTTCCATAATATTCATCTTAACTTCTGCCAAGTTTACCTTTGATTTTTTTAATTAACTGCCTATAGCGCCTTTGGTGCTTTGATTTTATTATGGGCCCAGTTGGTCCAAATCGGGGTCCAAAATTAAACTTTGTTTGATTTCAACAAAAATTGAATATATGGGGTTCTTCAATATGCTGAATCTAACCATGTATTTAGATTTTTGATATTTGGGCCCGGTTATCAAATTGGTCCACATTGAGGTTTAAAGGGTCCAAAATTGAACTTTATTTGATTTCATCAAAAATGGAATTCTTGGGGTTCTTTGATATGCTGAATCTAACCATGTATTTAGATTTTGGATATTGGAATACCACAAAGGGATGGTAAGAATTGTCTTTGAGAGTTATGGCTCAAACCGTTAAGGAATAAGGTGCAAAAAAGGGGGGAAAGGGTTTCCAGGTTAATGGACATTTACTTAAGTACAAAACATAATTTAAAAGGCAGTGTAAGGTTGGTAATTGAAACTCATTTGAATATCTCACCTAAACTGCCCCAAAAAGTTGCGGGGGGGGGGGGATTTTTTTTTCCAATTTTTTGGGGTTCATATTTTTTTTCTTCAAAGCTTTTGTAATCTTCAATTGCACAGTATTGCGCAATAGCAAGAAATCTTCAATTGCACAGTATTGCGCAATTTCACAATATTGTACAATAGCACAATATTGGGCAATAGCAAGAAATCTTCAATTGCACAGTATTGGGCAATAGCAAGAATTCTTTAATTGCACAGTATTGCACAACAACACAGTATTGCGCAATAGCACAGTATTGCGCAATAGCACAGTATTGCGCAATAGCACAGTATTGCACAATAGCACAGTATTGCGCAATAGCAAGAAATCTTCAATTACACAGTATTGCGCAATAGCAAGAAATCTTCAATTGCACAGTATTGCGCAATAGCAAGAAATCTTCAATTGCACAGTATTGTGCAATAGCAAGAAATCTTCAATTGAAAATAAATACAAATCTTTTAACCAATTTCAATGGGATTAATTTAAAGTCTTTAATTTTTGGGGGTTCTTACCTTGTATTACTTTTTTGGATATTGGGCCCCATTTTTAAATTGGTCTACATTGAGGTCAAAAGGGTCCAAAATTAAACTTTGTTTGATTTCATCAAAAACTGAATTATTGCGGCTGTATGATATGCTGAATCTTATTGTGCATTTAGATTTTTTATTTTGGGCCCTGTTTTCAAATTAGTCCATATTAAGGTTTGAAGGGTCCAAAATTAAACTTTTGATTGATTTCAACTAAAATTAAATTTTTGGTGTTTTTTTATATGCTGAATCTAACCATGCTGTTAGATTTTAGATATCAGACCATTCTAGGTAAAATGAATGTCCCATTTCAAATTTTTAAGCTCTTTGACCACATTTATTTTGTGTCAGAAACCTATATTATGTCAAAAATTTGATCACAATCCAAATTCAGACAGTATCAAGCTTGCATATTGTGTCCAAACTTGCCCCAACTGTTCAAGGTTCGACCTCTGCGGTCATATCAGGCTGCACTCTGCGAAGCATTTTATCTTTATCATGTGAAGAGTTAACAGCATTAGATACAATTCGCTTCCAGTGCAATTTACTAGGAAATAGACCATCAGATATGAAATTGTTTAAGAATTCAACAAGGTCGTACTTTATAAGAATGTTTAAAAGGTCGGGAATAAATCCAAAAAAGATGAATCCTCTTGCTTGACCAACATGTATACAGTCTCTGTAAGAACATTTGTTTTGGTAAATGATAGTGTTCTTATGAAAACAGTTTTCTAAAAAAAAAATACAGATTACGTTTCTCTATTTCTGACACAATATAACGTAGGCCAACTATACTTTCGCAAATGTCTGATGTAGTATATGTATTAAACCCCTGTGTCTGTTTTACTACAAAATTTTGAAATCTATTTAGTTAATTCAGATCTTGAGACTTCAATTCGCACCATAGTTCACAGCCATAAAGAACAGTAGGAATAACAACGGATTTGTAAAGCCTAATTAACACAAGAGGAATAGTGTGTTCATTTCTAATGTTTGAAATACTAAAATACAAATTTTTTCCTTTCCTACATACACTATTTGTTCTTGACACCGATGTTATTTTGCTGTTTAATTCAATTCCAATATTTACATGACTGTCAGCTGATACAGGTATAGATTTGCCGCTTATTTGCCAAATCAAGTATGCTTTATGCATGGATTTAGAAAATTGTATTACACATGAGGTCAATAGGTCAAAGTTGAAGGTAGCAATAGCTATAAAAAGTTTGAAAATTTTACAAATCTTTGCTTTTTTATTTGTCATCCGATAAATAATTCCAAAATATGGCTTAGATATAAAGCAAAAGGAAGACTGCCCTATCGTCTGGAGGCCAGATATTTCGAGGGTTTGATATTCTTAAGGTCCAATGACCTGACACTCCGAAGGTCCGATAGTTTTATATTTCCAGAGGAGTTGCACCAATATACCAGTGTGATTTTGCACAGCAATTTCTCGTGTCAATAGACAAGTTTTCAAAGTTCTGAATTTTTTTAGCAAATATTTATTTGCTATATTTTAGAAGTAGCTCACACTAAAACAGCAAAATATTTGCGAATATAATGCTGACCAATGATAAAACAGCATTAGTATGGCATGCATGATTTATTTCTTCATGAAATTGAGTGAAACCACTGGGGGATAATGATATCTCATCTACTACATTTCCGATTAAAAACAATGCATGAACATTGAAAGACTTGTGTCACAGTGATGTATAAGGAATAAAAAACCCGATCAAATATTGTCTTTAATTATAGCAGCTAAAAAGTTATCTACGGTCAAAAAATTAGTTACCTATATCTGACACAAGTTACCTAGGTCTTTTCATTTTTTCAAAGTCATTTATCAACTTTAATCAACTTTATTTATGGGTATGATCAATCATAAAAAAACACCAAAGTGGAGCAACATATTATGCAATACTTTAAAAAATACAAGGAGTTAAAAATCTTAGCAATGTCACCTTCAGCACCTACGTCCGCTTTCTCCCAGTGATAATATTATTCTTTATTGAAAGACTATATACATTGTATCTACATTTTCAATTTAAAGAGATGTTCCAAATCTGCCTGCTTATCATCTGACAATTGGGGACAGGGTAGTAACTTCAATACCTGATGCTGTTGTTTGTAGCTATGTTAGGAATGGTGAAGAAGTAGAGGAGAAAGTTATTGCTGTTGTAGAGGTAAATAATGTTGTATATGATACCATGTTAATATGACTTCCGACTTAATCTGTTGTACAGGTACATGTACATTGTAAGTAGCATATGATGTTAATACAAAATTTACGGACTCCAGATAAGCTGGGTTTTTGGGTAATTACTCAATTGAATTAACTGAAAACCCAATTGATCCAAAAATGCTTGCTTTTAAAAACCTAAAATATATGTTGAAAACTCAAATATTCCCGAAAACAATGACAATGGGTAATGTACACCTTTTAATAAATTCAATAAGTTTAAACTAAACTTGCGAAGAATGATGCATGGAAGTCTCCTAATAGAAATGATAATCACAGATGAAATTTACTCAATAGATCGATTCTTATCTGGAGCTCTGGACTTTCTTTGTCCAGGTCTCTATTCTGTTTTATGGAGTGGCTATGCTTATATAGAGAAATAAACAAAATAAAGTTATATATACAACATGCTATTCTTTAATAATTCACTTCAACATTGTTCAAAGTAAAAGTAAGATTTATTTACAACTTCTCTGCAATGTAATTTCTTAACTACATGTGAATTGTTTCAGATTCTATTTCATGATGCATTTAGTTGTGAGAATTTATTTATATCTGGGATTTTGGATGAATATGCTATATTGATATATTTGAAAGGTAAAGAAAGACTACCCCAGACCAGACTCAAATCTGGAAATTGTGAGGCAGACCAGAAATTCTGAAAGGAAGACATCAGCTATTAAGCATATTGATTCTGGACTAAAAGGCCAGCATGCTGGAGAAATGTTAGCAGTTATTCCTTCATCTGTATTTGGTTCTAATGGAATATATGGAATCATAGTACAGGGAACAATGGTATGGATTCTTATTATAAAGAATGGAAATGAGGAAAATGTCAAATAGACAACATCTGGACCAAAAATAGGAAACAAAAAACCCAAGGCCACTGATGTGTCTTCTATGAACGGTGGAAGTGCCCCACACTTGGTCGCAGACTGCAGCTTGCCCCTAAAAATGCACTAAGTTCAGCAAAATTAATGCCAAACTAAGCTCTGAGACAAGGAACCAAAATTTTTTTATATGATGTATTTGATTTTAAATGTATATAATCATATGGTTTGCAATGTACATCTGTCAGTTTATCAAATTTTGTTGCAGTTTTCTCATCAACTATGAATCACAGCAGCTTTATATTTGATAGCAAGCTTCAGTATGCAATACCATATTAAGTTTCACAAATTCAGATATGTCACCCATGTATTTCTTGTTTTCTGACTTTGTTTATTGATATTTTTTGGGGGTATGCTTTGTGAGCATTTGCTCACACTTAATCTTGTCATTTCAACTGCAGGAAAATTTGGTAAACTTATCCCAGCAAGCAATAGAATACCCTTAAAACATCAACCAATTTATAAATTTTTACTGTAGGATATAATAACAAAAGAAACCCTAATTCACCAAGGACTATCAAAAATTTTGAACTAGAATTGTTATATATTTGTATTATTAGTTGAATTAGAACAAATGAATTAATTAGTGACTGAGTGACTAAACATCCAGCAGCAACTTTATATGCATATTCATAACCACAGTATGTTGATGAGTTCATAAATGACCCCTGCTTTGTACTAGACCGACATGCTGAGTGGATTTTTCATGTGCTAGCAGGAGTGATATCAGGTGCTCCGGAAGGGTTACGCATATCCTGTTTCGCATGCAACACCCTTTGTCTTTCCCAATGGTCAAAGCAGGTAAAATGTCAAATTAGGTAAGTGTCATAATCGGTAAAAGAATAAGAAGCACTCAAGAAAATAGGTCTAAGATCATTTAATACACACTTACTGAAGAACAAACCACCAACTAGTGATGGCAGCAGTAAAACTTCCATAATGATGACAACAGTTTAGACAGAATGTATCCTTGTCTGAGCCTATATGATTGTGTCCTCACAATCTCAAGAAATTCACTGTATAGGACACAAGCTCATAAGAAGTGGATCATAATGAAACTTTACAGAATTGATGTATACAAGGTGAAGTTGTGCAAGTCTTACATTTTTAAAGTTCCCTACCGACAAAGTCGAAGGAGACTTTAGGTTTGCACTCCGTTCGTCTGTCTGTCAATCCGTCAGTCCGGCAAATCAGTTTTAAACACTTTTTTTCTTTATGCTAGAAGATATTGGTTTGATATTTAGTGTATTGTTTTATCTTGACAAGTTACAGATCAAGTTCAAATTTTGGTCTGGTCTGATGACTTTGTGCAGAGTTATGGTCCTTGGACTTAGAAAATTCACTCAATTTATCAGTTTTCTGCCCTTTTTTTCGTCATGCTTAAAGATATTGATTTGATAATTGGTATAAAGTTTTATCATTTCAAATTGCAGATCAAATTCAAATTTTGTTCCAGTCTGATGATTTTGTGCAGAGTTATGGTCCTTGGACTTAAAAAATTCACTCAAATAATCAGTTTTCTGCACTTTTTGTGCCCCTGCCGTAGCAAAGAGGGCATTAAGTTTTACCCTTGTCCGTCTGTACGTCCAAAAATTGGTTTCTGTTCTCTAACTTCAGTTTGCCTCAACCAAATGTTATGAAACTTATCCACAATACTTATTACCACAAAACACAGATCGAGTTTGAAATTTGGTGGCATCACTTTTACCGTTCGAGAGTTATGCCCCTTTACAAATGGAAAAATTGCTGAATTTTTTTGTTTCCTTTCTCTTACTTTAGTTTGCCTCAACCAAATGTTATGAAACTTATCCACAATGTTTATTACCACAAAACACAGATCGAGTTTGAATTTTGGTGGCATCACTTTTACCGTTCGAGAGTTATGCCCCTGTACAAATGGAAAAATTGCTGAATTTTTTGTTTCCTTTTTCTAACTTGAGTTTGCCTCAACCAAATGTTCTGAAACTTATCCACCATGTTTATTACCACAAAACACAGATCAAGTTTGAATTTTGTTGGTGTCACCTTTACTGTTCTAGAGTTATGCCCCTTTACAAATCTCAAAATTGCTGAAATATTTGTTTCTGTTCTCTAACTTTAGTTTGTCTCAACCAAATGTTATGAAACATATGCACAATGCTAATTACCGCAAAACACAGATAAAAATTGAATTTTGGTGGTGTCACTTTTACTGTTCTAGAGTTATGCCCCTTTAAAAATGGAAAAATTGTTGAATTTTTCGTTTCTGTTCTCTAATTTAAGTTTACGTCAACTAAATGTTATGAAACTTATAAAGCAATTTTTATTATCACAAAACTCAGATCAAGTTCAAATTTGGGTAGTGTCACTTTTACAGTTCTAGAGTTATGGCCCTTTATAATCTTATATGCAAGCGGGGGCATCATCTGTGTCCCATGGACACATTCCCCATTTATTTTCATCATGCTTGAAGATATTGATTTGATAATTAGTATATAGTTTTATCATGCAAGTTACAGATCGAGTTCAAATTTTGTTCCGGTCTGATGATTTTGTGCAGATTTATTGTCCTTGGACTTAGAAAATTCACTTAAAATAATCAGTTTTCAACTCTTTTTTTTGTCATGCTTGTTTTTTATCAAATCAATTTTTACGCTTTTTTTACGACCGCAAAAAAAATTTTGTGGTCGTATATTGGTATGACGTTGGCGTCGTCGTCGTCGTCCGAAGACACATTGGTTTTCGCACTCTAACTTTAGTTTAAGTGAATGGATCTCTATGAAATTTTACCACAAGGTTCAATACCACAAAAGGAAGGTTGGGATTGATTTTGGGGGTTATGGTACCAACAGTAAAGGAATTAGGGGCCAAAAATAAGCATTTTTGTAACTTCCAGACATAACTTGTGTGTTAGTGTATGGATCTCTCTGACATTGTACCACAAGGTTCCATATCACAAAAGGAATGCTGGGATTGATTTTGGGGGTAATTGCCTCAAAATTTTAGGAATTAGGGGCCACAAAAGGGGCAAAAAACAAGCATTTTTCTAGTTACATGACAATAACTTGTGTTCAAGCATATGGATCTCTCTGAAATTGTACTGCAAGGTACCATACCACAAAAAGAAGGCTGGGATTGATGATGGGGGTAATTGCCTCAATATTTTAGGAATTAGGGGCCAAAAAGGGGCAAAAAACAAGCATTTTTCTAGTTTCAGGACAATAACTTGTGTGTAAGTGTATGGATCTTTCTGAAATTGTACTACAAGGTTCCATATCACAAAGGGAAAGCTGGGTTTGAGTTTGGGGGTAATTGCCTTAAATGTTTAGGAATTTGGGGCCAAAAAGGGGCCAGAAAACACATTTTTTTCTAGTTTCCAGACAATAACTTGTGTTCAAGTGTATGGATCTCTCTGAAATTGTACTGCAAGGTACCATACCACAAAGGGAAGGCTGGGATTGAGTTTTGGGGTGATGAATCATAAGGGGGTTAAAAAAATTTGGGGGGGGGATTTTTTTTTTTTCCTTTTTTTTTCTTTTAAAATTTTCCATTTTAAGTTGGTTATTTCTGATTTATATTTAAAAGCAAATAATAATGATATGGTAGGAGATACACACCAAACAGGATGTGTAAATTTTTATATCATAAGTATTGTGCAATAGCAAGAAATTTTCAATTGCACAGTATTGCACAATAGCAAGAAATCTTCAATTGCACAGTATTGCGCAATAGCAAGAAATCTTCAATTGGACAGTATTGCGCAATAGCAAGAAATATCCAATAGCACAATATTGCGCAATAGCAAGAAATTGTCAATTGTACAGTTGCGCAATAGCAAGAAATATTCAATTGCACAGTATTGTGCAAAAGAAGATACTTCGTATAAATTGCTTATTTCTTGACCAATTTCAATGGGGTTTTATTTTTGAATTCTTGGGGTTCTTTAATATGCTGAATCTAACAGTGTATTAAGTTTTTGGATTTTGGGCCCCGTTTTTAAATTGGTCCACATTGAGGTCCAAAGGGTCCAAAATTAAACTTTGTTTGATTTCATCAAAAATTGAATTATTGGGGTTCTTTGATATGCCGATTCTAACCGTGTATTTAGATTCTTAATTTTTGGTTCCGTTTTCAAATTGGTCTACATTAAGGTCCAAAGGGTCCAAAATTAAACTTAGTTTGATTTTAACAAAATTTGAATTCTTAGGGTTCTTTGATATGCTGAATCTAAACATGTATTTAGATTTTTGATTATGGGCCCAGTTTTCAAGTTGGTCCAAAATCGGGGTCCAAAATTAAACTTTGTTTGATTTCAACAAAAATTGAATATATGGGGTTCTTTGATATGCTGAATCTAACCATGTATTTAGATTTTTGATTTTTGGGCCCCGTTATCAACTTTGTCCACATTGAGGTCAAAAGGGTCCAAAATTAAACTTTGTTTGATTTCATCAAAAATTGAATTCTTGGGGTTCTTTGATATGCTGAATCTAACCATGTATTTAGATTTTGGATCTAACCATGTATTTAGATTTTGGATATTGGATCATAATAGGTGAATGTCCAATTTAAAATTTTTAAGTTCTTAGACCACATTCATTCTGTGTCAGAAACCTGTGCTGTGTCAAATATTTAATCACAATCCAAATGCAAAGCTGTATCAAGCTTGAATGATGTGTCCATACTTGCCCCAACTGTTCAGGGTTCGACCTCTGCGGTCGTATCAAGCTGCGCCCTGCGGAGCATTTTATCTTTACTATAACGTGGACTTGGCAATTCTCTATATATTAGAAAATTTGTGAACTCAAAATTTCCTAGTTTAAAATGGAATGGAATGAAACTTAACAGATTTGATGTGTACCAGGTGTGGTTGTGCAAGGCATAAATTATTTTTGATCAAATCAATTTTTGGGGTTTCTTTTACCGAAACATGGACTTTGCCATTTCTACATATGTGGAAAATTTTGAATGCAGAATCTCTTACATTTAACAGTGGAATGAAATTTTACAGATTTGATTTATACTAGGTGTAGTTGTGCAAGACATAAATATTTTTATCACATCGATATTTAGGGTTTTCTATTTTCTACACTGGTTTATCAATATCGCTATGTCTACTTACATGTACTTTATGCTTTATCACACTTTGATGTGTTTCCTGGACTCTTCCAGTTGTTATGTCCTCCCTTTAATAAATTTCTATATACAACCCTGGGAATGATTCTTAGAAGGTTCCTACTATAGTTCCTTTTTTTTGGTGGAAATCAAACTGCTAGATCAATTTTTATGAAAATTATGCAGGAATGAGTTGTTGCATAGACTGAAATTCTTTTACAGGATTGATCCATTTGGTGCCAATAAGTTTGCAAAGTGAACAATACAGGCACATTAGAGCCTTTGTTGAGTTGACAAGCTTTTATATCTGGGTTCTCTTTCATGTATGAGGTTCAAACAGTAGCATTTTATTTTTATTCTGTTTATATATTCAACCTGACATATTTCACAATACAGCATGTTCTTCTGAAGCTATTTAAGAAAGTAGTATTAAAAGTTGGAAAACTGATAATCAGTACAAAGTGCACATAACAAATGACAGACGAAATCTCTACCATCTGATCAAGTGTATCCTGTTTATTTGCAGATCACATTTGTATCCCTGGCAACAAGTCAAGAATATTGTAATAACCTTAGTGAAGGGAAAATGAAGAATTGTCATGCTACAATAAAGTACAGCAATGCAGTTAATATGCTGTCTACGGAGGGAAGAAAAGAACTTGTCAGTACCTTCCTTGGAATGTCAACTTTACTTGATTGTATGTCACAGGAAATAATGAACTAGGTATTTGTTTGTATTAGTTATCTCTTCAAACATTTTTGTCAAACATTAAACTTAGTTTAGAAGTAAAATACTGCTGGATTGACAACACTTTAGTGAACTGCAAGTTTTATTGTGACGACTAGCTATCGTCGTCTTCAGGACAAATTATATAGACATTACAATCCCTGAAGTATAAAAAAATGGTATCTAAATTTTAACGTCATAATGTGTTTACTCCATTGTCTTTGTTGTTCCTGGTTATCAATATATGAATGAAATGAAAAAATTACAAATGTATGTACATAAAGGTAGTAAATTAAAAAATATGTGTAACATGAATGTAAGTACAATGTCAGTGTACAGTTTGTATAAAGTTTCTTCCTAATTTGGACAACACTTTTAGGGCACACCCCTACCACTTCGACTGGCTTCCCTTTGGCCAGAGGTACTACTTCCAATCGCATCGGGAATGCCGTAAAGTGGTTTACCGTCGCAAAATTTCTAGGCAATTTAGGGATGGTATCTCTGTTTTTACATTTATATAAATAATTTTGGTGTTGCTGGCACCTAACTAATTTAACATTTAATTTTCTGAAGGCACGGAATGATGGTACATTTATTTCTCGAATCCTTTGCGGCTCTTCTTTGTACATGGATTCTGCTGTCTGATCTTCGTTTGTTCTTTTCCTTTTATTTGTTTGTAGTTCGGCAGAGGTTGATGGTGTCGGTTGATTGCTGGCTTCTTGAAATTCTTCGGTATCGTTCGATTCCATGGTGGCCAAGTGGTCAACGCTGTGTGGTAAAGGCAACTTTGTTGCAAAGGGGTAATATTGTCTTTGATCCACCTGTATATCAGTCCATTTGAGGTTTCCAGACAATAATTTGAAGATGGATTAACAAATTTTCTTCAACTTGCTACAAACCTTTATGACCATAAGGTACAGATCAAGTTTGAATGTGGATGTAACCAGATTTTTTTTTGTTCCATGGTGAAGCCCCTTTGTCAACTGATTATATAGAAAATATTGAGTTTTCAAAAACTTGGAAATGAGGTTTCTTTAGACCTGCCAAAGGTTTATTTATACTATGAGATACAGATCACTTTTGAAATTTGTGCATAATACTAAGTAAATGACTGATATGCATAGAACATACTTATGTAGCAACGTCACTTTATATTAAATTAGATTACCAGTAAAAGAGCATCGTTATATTTTTCTCAATTCCGTTTTTATATCAATACTTCATCATTGGTATTTAGATATACATATCAAAGGGACAACTTGATATCTAAATTAAAATCGTCACACTTGTTCATTTCATGTCTCCATAATAATATATTGTATAGTATCATATATGTTTATTTGATATTGTCTTGTTATTTATTATTTGTATATAATGGAGAAGACGTTCTATGTTGAAAAACTTGTGTCTGATCCTTTTGTTGTTATTTTGACAATAAAATATGTTTAAACTAAACTTTGTAGGAAGCAAGTATTGAATTCAAAAGATCTTGCTTACAAAGAAAATAAGAAACTCATTTTAAGTAAGCTTTTCAAAAAATATTTATGAAGGTTTTCAAATTTATGAATCTTATTACATGTATATATGAATTCTTCCCTTATACCTGTTTCTTCCTTTATTTCCAATATTTTTATGGAAGGTCTGTTAAAGCTTGAGGACATAACATCAGCAAGGATAATAAGTATATATTTAATCATCCAGTGAAATGTTCATTTCAGTACCATTCAAAACAAAGTGTATTTAATACATGTCATGCATCTCATTTAAATAAAACAGAAAAATTAGCACTTATTAACTTAATTTTTTCTGTTTTATCTAAATAAGATGACTTGTATTAAATACACTTTGTTTTGAATTTCATGCAAATTGAAGATTTTTCTCATCACTAATCATTAGTCAGATGTCCATTTGTTGTTCCTTAAATTTTACAAACAATTTTTGAAGCAAGAGAGCTTTCAGAGTGATAGTCAATTGGGTTCACTTCCTATTTACCTCCAAAATGAGTTTCTTGCACTTAAAAGAAATGAAATTAATGAAATTTCTAAGTCAAATATACATGTATTATTGAGATCAAGGGTGATGATCTAAGTTACAAAAATGACCTATTTTTTAACTTTGAGGTAAAGGGTCTAGGTCAACATTCTTGGTACACAACACAAATTTTTGAAGTAACCTACCTACACACAAAATTTTGGAGGCCTAGGTCTTTAGGCAATAAAGTTATAAAAATGACCTATTTATTGACCTTGAGTTCAAGTAACCGCCCTACACACCAAAGATTGTAAGCCTAGGTCTTAAGACAAAAAAATTACAAATTTACCCTGAGGTCAAGGGTCAAGGTCAACATCTTTTGATCTTTTCATAAAACACTTTTTTTCTGCCAGTTAACATTACATTCACTCTGTAGTTAAAAGTTTTTAAAATTTTAATAACTTTCTTAAACTATCCTGGATTTGTACCAAACTTGGACAGAAGCTTGTTTATGATCATAAGATAGTATCCAGAAGTAAATTTTGTTAAAAAAAATCCTGTTTACCGGGTATCCGTATTTTACTTATAAATGGACTTAGTTTTTTCTGCCAGTTAACATTACATTCACTCTGTAGTTAAAGTTTTTAAAATTTTAATAACTTTCTGGATTTGTACCAAACTTGGACAGAAGCTTGTTTATGATCATAAGCTAGTATCTAGAAGGAAATTTTGTAAAAATTAATTTCCTGTTTTTCCGTATATTACTTATAAATGGACTTAGTTTTTCTTCCAGTTAACATTACATAAAGTCTGCAGTTAAAGTTTTTAAAACATTTATTAGATTCATAAACCATCCTGGATTTTTACCAAACTTGGAAAGAATCTTCTTACAATCAAAAGATAGTATCTAGAGGAAAATTTTTAATAATGTTTTCCCCGTTTTTGTTGAGCCTGCGACTAACAGCAAAAGTTGGCGAGACACTGGGTTCCACGGAACCCTTACAAATTTTTGTATTAAACAGAGTAAAATTTAGCGGTATTAGGTCATATGTAATTATATGGTGGAAGGAGATTTGTCCTTTCGATTTCTATGGTAGGGCATTTCATGATGTAATGATATTCGTCGCCTATTTCTTGCATATTACAGATATTACATTTTCATTCTAACATGTCATAATTATACCAACGTCCACTTTCTATAGGTAATGAGTGGTTTACAGTTCAAAATTTACATAATGTTGTAATGTCGTTATCTCCCAGAATATCAAAGTAATCTTCAAAATCCAAATCTTCTTTAAAAGTCCTGTAATTAAGACATTTCGGGGAGTACTGAATTTCTGCATACCATGATTTGTTTTTATTGATCAGTGAGTGTTTGTTTTTTTTTTTTTTTTTTTTTTATTTTTTTATTTCCAACAATTAAAACACATACATGACATACATACAATATAATACATGTAAGATGTATACAATGTTATTATTATAAATACATCATAATTGGAAATATTTGAAATTTTCTATAGATCAGATCTAAAGAAAAAAAGTTCAAAAAATATAAAAATTGATAGATAAATAAATAATAATAATTAACAGTCAGATAGGAGTATAGGAGTGGAAAATGAAGAAGAAGAAAAAGAAGGGAAAAAAACTAAACAAAAACAACAAAAAAAAACAATCAAAAGAATTATCCAGTTACATCTCTATATATTTTTTTAACATTTTTAAATGTAACATATTCATGATGAAAAATATTTGAAAAATTAACTATACATATTTCTTTCGTAACAGCCAGCAACACAGATCAAGGACATAACATGACAATACTATTTTCTTTAAAATAAATGATAAGTAAATAGTCATAAGTTATTATAACAAAAATAGGCATTAGCATGCATTCAATAACAGTTTTTCAAAAACTTGCCATACATAGTCGAATTCAGTTATCTTTTTATTTTTTACAGCTATCATACTCTCTAATTTATACATATCTTTCAGCTTTATTATAATTGCTTGCAATGAGAGATTCTTTTTAAATCATCTAGAATTATACACATATTGTTTAATATAAAGAAAAATCATGTTGTATGGGTTGTTGGGGATATCTTGGATAAGTCTTCAAAAACAAAATTTATTTATTCATTGGGAGACTTATTCCACCGCAAAGGAACCAGTTATCAATATCAAAATTTTGTACAGTATTGCAATTGCAAAATAGGTGTTCTATAGACTCATTTTCTGATTTACAAAATGTACATAATGTTTGTTTAATGTTTAATGTAAGCAAGCCACTTGTGTTCATTCTGAAGGTGGAAAGGGTTAGTAAGTCCGCATTCTTTGAGAATTTAATGAACATGTTTTATTAGTCCCCTACCGACGAAGTCGAAGGGGACTTTAGGTTTGCACTCTGTCCGTCTGTCTGTCCGTCCGTCCGTCTGTCCATCCGTCAGTCCGGCAACTCAGCTTTCCACACTTTTTTTCTTCGTTCTTGAAGATATTGATTTGATATTTGGTATATAGTTTTATCATGACAAGTTATAGATCAAGTTCGAATTTTGTTCTGGTCTGATGATTTAGTCCAGAGTTATGGTCCATGAAAAAACTCCATAACTAATGTTAGAGTACTATGTTAAACCAAATAATCTGTATAAAGGGAGATAACTTATTTTTTAAAAGACATTCTTTTTTTAAATGTTTGAGGTATTTTGTGGCAGGTTTATATGTTATTTTGTATAAACTAATTTTCTGAATGCTACATGTATATATATATTTTTTTTTTATTAAGTGAAATCCTTTAATTAGATAATAATCTATTTTTATTACGGTATATATTTCATTACATTACATTGTGTAGATAAAAGTTGTTGACATTTTACAGGTAAGTTACAAATCTATATTAGTTTGTGACAAATGAAAGAAAAAATATTTGGAACTATTAATTATATTTGATTGTAATTTGAAAATAGATATACATTGTATTACATCATATCTAATGTTAGAGTGTTATAGGTTTTCCACACTTTTTTTCATCATGCTTGAAGATATTGATTGACAATTGGTAAATAGTTTTATCATGACAATTACAGATCAAGTTCAAATTTTTGTTTCGGTCTGATAATTTTGTGCAGAGTTATGGTCCTTGGACTTGAAAAAATTCACTCATATATTCAGTTTTCCACACTGTTTTTAGTCATGCTTGAAGATATTGACTTGATATTTTCTTTTTGTTTACACCATGACAAGTTATAGAACAAGTTAGCATTTTGGTCCAGTATAATTAATTTTTACCCAGTAGGGGACTATGTATTGCCATGCAATACTCTCAGAATGCTTGTTCAAATCAGATTATAACCGATAATTCTGTAATGAAAATATGCCAGCTTATATATGTTATGCAAATTATAACCGTTTATTGTATAATGAAAATATGCCAGGTAACATATAATTTAGATGTATTAAGTAATTCACCTTGTAGAACGCCACATGCTGAAGCCCCTGCTTGTGAAAACATATGTCCACCCATCCATCTCCTGTTCTACCGATGTCATGGAAGTAGCTGGAGCCCCTGCTTGTTAAAACACATGTCCACCCATCCACCTACTGTACTACCAATGTGATGGATGCAGCTGAAGCCCCTGCTTGTGAAAACACATGTCCACCCATCCCATCTACTGTTCTACCAAAGTCATGGAAGCAGCTGGAGCCCCTGCTTGTGAAAACATATGTCCACCCATCCATCTCCTGTGCTACCAATGTCATGGAAGTAGCTGGAGCCCCTGCTTGTGAAAACACATGTCCGCCCTTCCATCTACTGTACTACCAATGCGACGGAAGCAGCTGAAGCCCCTGCTTGTGAAAACACATGTCCACCCATTCCATCTACTATTCTACCAAGGTCATGGAAGCAACTGGAGCCCCTGCTTGTGAAAACACATGTCCACCCATCCCATCTCCTGTTCTACCAATGTGATTGAAGCAACTGGAGCCCCTGCTTGTGAAAACATGTCTACCCATTCGTCTCCTGTTCTACCAATGTGATGGAAGCAGCTAGAGCCCCTGCTTGTGAAAACATATGTCTACCCATTCCTCTTCTGTTCTACCAATGTCATGAAAGCAGCTGGAGCCCCTGCTTGTGAAAACACATGTCTATCCATTCGTCTCCTGTACTACCAATGTGATGGAAGCAGCTGGAGTCCCTGCTTGTGAAAAAATATGTCCACCCATCCATCTCCTGTACTACCAATGTGATGGAAGTAGCTGGAGCCCCTGCTTGTGAAAACACACGTCAACCCATCCACCTACTGTACTACATATGTGATGGAAGCAACTGGAGCCCCTGCTTGTGGAAACACATGTCTACCCATCCATCTACTGTACTACCAATGTGATGGAAGCAGCTGGAGCCCCTGCTTGTGAAAACACATGTCCACCCATTCATCTGCTGTTCTACCAATTTGATGGAAGCAGCTGGAGCCCCTACTTGTGAAAAAACACATGTCCACCCATCCACCTACTTTACTACCAATGTGATGGAAGCAACTGGAGCCACTGCTTGTGGAAACACATGTTTACCCATCTATCTCCTGTACTACCAATGTGATGGAAGCAGCTGGAGCCCCTGCTTGTGAAAACACATGTCCACCCATCCATCTCCTGTTCTACCAATGCGATGGAAGCAGCTGGAGCCCCTGCTTGTGAAAAAACACATGTCCAGCCATCCATCTACTGTTCTACCAATGTAATGGAAGCAGCTGGAGCCCCTGCTTGTGGAAACACATGTCCACCCATTCATCTGCTGTTCTACCAATGTGTTGGAAGCAGCTGGAGCCCCTGCTTGTGAAAAAAACACATGTCCACCCATCCACCTACTTTACTAGCAATGTGATGGAAGCAACTGGAGCCCCTGCTTGTGGAAACACATGTCCACCCATCCATCTCCTGTACTACCAATGTTATGGAAGCAGCTGGAGCCCCTGCTTGTGAAAACACATGTCAACCCATCCATCTCCTGTTCTACCAATGTGATGGAAGCAGCTGGAGCCCCTGCTTGTGAAAAACACACGTCCACCCATCCATCTACTGTACTACCAATGTCATGGAATAGAAGTCCCTTTAAAACATTAGTTCAAAATGGACGAAATATTCTGGAATATTAAGCCACTGGATGAAATATAACAGTAATTGTTTCTGACATAATAAAGGGTAGAAAATATGTCTTCCAACAGGAACAGATATAATAGCATTGTTTATGACGATGTTTTTACAGAAACTTCTTATAGATGGATTAAGTATATGTTTACATCCCAAATAAGTAAATATATTTTCTTTTCGTGTCTGTTAAAGGTAAGCACTGATTCACTTAAAACTGAGACCAAGAATAGTCAAGTCTGTTCACAGCAACCTGATCATACTAAAAGGTTTGTTTGTCCAAAAGATGATCATTCGAACTCTCAGCACGATAGTGGATATGATCAGGGTCTGGACTTTGATTCAATTACAAGTGCCAATCAGGATACACATGGTTTCAACACTGAGTCTCTAGGAATAAATAGATTAAATGAGTATAGTGCTCTACTGACAAACAATAGTGATGGGTATGAATCAATGGATGGATCTACTACAAACAGCCAAGGTACCTAAAACTACGAATAACTATTAGAGCAAATATGATTAAGGAGGCATCAAAATTAGATTTAATTTTCCAAATGACAATACTAAACACTTGTTAATAATTTCCAAAATAAAGAACAATTGTTTCTTGTAAAGGTCTTGCCAATTATATATTCTACATATGTTATCTCTTAAGCACTGTTTCAATTGCCCCGGAATCTATGAGATAAGAATGAAAATAATACCAGAAACTCAAACCTAAATACGGACTAGGGATCTAGGGATAGCTAAAGGGGATCATTTGCAAAAGTGTGTTTGTGGTTAGGTAAGGTATGGGGTAATCGTTATCGGCTGTAATCAATTACATTTTGCAATGTAATCCCATGTAATCAGTAATCATGCAATTTCTGATTACAAATTTAATCGATTACAATGTAAGAAACAGGTGTAATCATGATTACTTTTAGATTACATTCATATGATTACTTGCAGATTACAAATTTTGTATATGAAAATAGTTTTTGATATACAATATAAAAAATAAAAAGATGTGAAGCATGAATGAAAAATTATCAAACTAGTATTCGCTATGATGGATTGTTGTTCAATGTGATTGATCATATCATCTATATAACAAATTTAGTATAACCAAGTTCGGCATGTAGAGTGAAATGCGTATTCAACTTGTAAACGGTTTACTGAAGGAATTTGTCATTGTGAGATTGAGTTCTTGTGATACAAGAATACGCTTCGAAAGCATTTTGTGTTCCTTGATGGAACACTTCATATATTAACTCCAATTTAAGTTTACACAATATTTTGGTATATCTACATGGAAATTCAATAGCACAGAACATTTAGGTCCAATTTTGACTTTGATGATCGACATAAATGAGCCCACTTAATTAATGATCAAATTTAGAACCAAATTTCATTTTTTTACAATTTTATAAATTATATACATAATGAAAATAAGCTACTTTTATAACTTTATTGATATTGCAATAAGGACAATTAATTTTCAATACCCAAGCCCACCTATTGTTTGTCAAAAAAATTTAAGTAGTGTTTAACACCTGTAAAAACATATGGATGTGTCAATCATATCCCCACAGACAATAAAACTACTTAATTGATTTTTCATTATTTGGTGAGGATTTTTGTGAATTGGGCAGTTGACCAAATATTTTATAAAAACAATGTTATATCTTCTACGTAGAATAGGGCACTTGTCTATGCTATCAAACTTTACACGTGCTACACTGCTCCTGGTCGATAAGATGAATAAATTAAGGATATAAAGAAAAATCACAAATTTTCACAAAATTTGCTTTTTTCACAAAAATGAAAAGTTTATAAAAAATTGTTAAATATTACAATATACAATGTTATCCAAAGTAATAATGATTACTTTAAAGAAAAGTAATCTAGTATAATTCATTACATTGGAATTTAGGTGTTATTGTAATGTAATCGATTGCATTAAGGGCATACGATACAGTAGCAGGGGCAGATAATAACGTTTTCAAAACTTTTCGTGTTGTTTTAGCGACGTTGTTAATCAGAACGTTGTAATTTCGCGATTTTTCTAATAAGAACGATTACATTTCGCGACGTCGCTTTAGATGTAGTCATATTTGCGGAAATCCACTGACGTCATAATCCCGATTGCGCGAATTTGAAAAAAATACCTGCAATGAAAATCGGCCAATTCACGAGAATTGTTATATTTATTCATTAATACAACAATATTAACTTCGAATGGGAAAAAAATCAAATCCACATGCTTAATTTTGTATGTCTGTTATTTCATATGGGAAATGAATAAGAGATATGAAAAACACAAGACGTCGATGAGAGAGAAAACCAACTACACAAAAAAAAACATAAGTAATTAATATAGTAACTTCACCATTTGGATAACTCTAAATCGTTATGAGAATTGTACGGATAAATTTAACAGAGACTATCAACAAAATGACAAAAAAACGTAATAAATAATGACAGCGCATATTACTGTTCCTGACTTTAAAAAGGTACATTAAAGAGTTTAACGGCATTTTTAGAATTTAACCCGTGGAATATATAAGTGTACGAAGAAGAATTGTCAGTTAAAATTACTCAGTTATAAGCCCCGTATTATAGACCAAAAACAAAAACGCACCCGTTGATGTGCTAAGCATATCCCCTATTTACATATTTAGAGAGAAAAATCGGCACACAGGAATTAGGTATTTGACAGACCAGAGTTGCAACTCATTGATGTTAAGTTACTGACCAAATACGAAGTCTTTTTGTAAAGTAGTTTCTCAGATAAGAAACAAAATATTTGTTGGACCGGACAAACAATGTGGTTGCACTCACTCCTAGATTGAAGGTATAATACAGACAAGTAATTCAATGATTATATGTACCGTAATAAAAAAAAATACTCTGAAGACAAGCTTAGGTAACTTATCTATTGATACAGAATCATTAAATTTCATGCTCTAATATCGACTGCTGTATGAAATGATATACTACACTGTAATTGACTAAGCTGACCCGATTTAATGTGGGTATGATTTTGTGTTCATGTTATGCCTATAGAGTAGGTCGTTAGTTTTCTTGTTTGAATTATTTCACATTTTCATGTCGGGGATTTTTAAAGCTTGACTATACGGTGTGGCTTTTTCTTTTTCTTATTTTTTTTGTGTTGAAGGCCGTAGGGTGACCTTTAATAGCGTTTATCTTCGTCATTTGAACTATGGTTGACAGTTGTCTCTTTTGCAATCATACCAAATGTCCTTATTTTTATATCATCCCCCTTACTTTATAATTGTTGCACATTTTGTCATGTCGGGCCTATTAATAATTAAAACTATGTTCAAGCTGTGTTGTCTACATGAATTGTATGACTAATGTCGGACAGAGATGCAAATTAATTTTTTTATTATATATCTGTTTTGTTTCCGAACATTTCTTTTCTAAAAGTAATTTACTAGAATACTTTTTCTATCCAAGATTCGTAACAATTCATAAAGGTTTGGCAAATATGATGCTATTTTACGAGGAGCCAACTTTATTAATTTTCATGATTAATATCATTGGTTTTAAAAAAAACCACCTTGGCTCTACCACTGAAATTGACAACGTAGTATAGTGAACGGCGGGAAAGATTTCACGACGTTGTTGCGATTAAAACTTATTCCAACGTAGTTTGGCGCCTTATTGGCAAACGTCCCGTTTTCCAATAAAAATTAGGGTTTTTGCTTTTATTGAAAAAACAAGCACATGGACCCCGAGTTTTTTCTTTTGCAGTCGATCAAGTTCTGTTTCAAGAACGCTCCGCCAAAATTTTAAGAAAAAATCAACGATAGAATTTTTTCTGCACTTCTGTGTAGACGCAAAAATATTTTCAACTTCTTTATTTCACTTGTATTAAAAGAATTGAGAATATAATTACTTATTTCAACCGTTAACTTGTTACAACATGCTGATGCCATGGATCAAGGGAACATTTTACAAAAAACCCGGTTAAATTATGACTGTTCGTTCAAAAGTATTGGTACTTTCCTTAAAAGTCCTTATTTATGAAATTTCAGGGTTTTTCCTTCAAATATGTAAATTTCGAACCAAATTATCTCAAAAAGTAAGTCATGAAGGTATATTTTTCTTTGCATATTTCAAAAGTACACATCAAAATTGACCTTTTACCAAAATTTCAAGAAAAAATCAACGAGGGATCTCTACTGTATAGTATGCCCTTAAATTAGCAAAGTAATTGTAATTTAATTGATTACATTTCAAAGTAATTGACCTCATCCCTGCAGGTTAGGCAGAGGGTGACTTCAAGTAATATGCAGAAAATGTGATATTGAATTGATATTATCAAAGTATTTTACATTTAGTAGAATTTAAAACTAGATGTTTCATCTATAGGACTGAAATAATATTTCAAGTGAATATAAGTACTTTGAAATACAATTAATTCAAAACATTATGACATTTAGCATTTGATATTAGATATTTCTGGTTTAATAACCTATTGTGCATTCATGCTACTATTTGAAGAATGCTATTTAATAATCCAGAAGCCAAAGTGAGAAGACATATAGAACTGTGTCATTAAAATACCCTTTGTTAAATTTTATTTTATTGTCTTGTACTTATCTGGTAAACTTCTCAAACTTTGTCAAATTAGTTGCCTTCTGCATACCTTGATCGTAAGAAACAATATGTTAAACATAGATATTTATAATTTGATGCATTTGTTTTATAAATTTACTGATTCAGCATGTCAAATTTATCTGATAGATGTTTATTGTACCGCGCGTAACGTGTTGCAGGGGACATAGAAATACCGGGTGTCCGTGTGTGCGTCTGTCCGTCCGGTCTTGTTAGCGCCCTTGCATGTACGATTCTTGCCAGATTTTTATAAAACTGATATCATAGGTTTATATCAACAATGTCTCGGACAAGTTCGAAAATAAGTGGGTAACAACAATTTTTAAAAGAGTTATTCCCCTTAGAAATATTAATTATATGGAAAATTGCATTGTTAGCGCTCTAAAGTGTACAATTTGTGCCAGATTTTTATGACACTTATATCATAGGTTTATTATAGCAATGTCTCAGACAAGTTCTAAAATCAATGCCAATCAATTGTTTTTAAAAGAGTTATGTCCCTTGGAAATATTAATGATATGGAAAATTGCATTGTAAGCGCTCTCATTTGTACATTTTTTGTAGCAAAGGCTTGAACCTTTTCAAAAATCAGTGCCGATCAAATATTTTTAAAAGAGTTATGCCCCTTAAAAATATTAATCATATTGGAAATTACGTTGCATTTACTCTCAAGCCTTCATTTCTCTTAAAGTATTTATAAAAATTTTAAAGAGTTATTGCCTTTGGACAGATAAAATATACAATATCTTTTACACACCTGTCGATATTATGACATAGAACTGACCGCTTGCAAGAAAGAACACAGAAGAAATATTTATCTGAATGCTTCATTGGTACACAATTGTCAATACATATAGCAAAATATCTTTTTAGGATGATAGGGTCCAAAAATGTTAATCCAAAATCATACATAATCAGTATACTCTCTATATATGTAAGAACATGAACAATGGAACTAATCTCCCATCAAACAATTGCTTTTTTTCTTAAAATTTTTCTTAATATTGGAAATTATTTTAAAAGATGAAAGTATTTATTTGTGTCTTGTAATTTACAGGTGCTTTCCTTCTATCGTCTACAATGAGAAGAATGTTACCTGCTGCCAGATCTACTATGAAAAATACTGTGGGGACAATGATTAAATCTGTGATCCATTTACAGAAATGTGACCAAAGTTTTATTTGATATTGTTTTATACATTGTTTGTGTTCCATAAAAACTCATCGAAGAAACCAGGTTTATACTTTTGTACGCCAGACACATGTTTCATCTTCATAAAACTTATCAGTTACGCTTGAAACAAAACAGTCGAAAAGACAATTCAGATACAAAGTTAAAAAGCATCAAAAACCGAAAATTCGAAAAAAAAGTTATGCAAAATAAAGCTAAGGCAATTTTAACCTAGGGGTAGAAAAATCTTTTCGAATGACTCAACATTTCCTGAATAGTAAATTTACAGAAAATGATATTTCATGGCAACACAAAAGTGGTGACTACTGGTCTGGTGATACCCCCCGAGGATAAAATGTCTGCCAGCAGTTGCTTCAACCCATAGTTGTAAAATCTATGTACAGAAATGTGACCAAAGTTTTATTTGAATAAATTATATATTTATTGTTTAACATATTGTTGTTGTTCCATAAAAACTCATCGAAGATACCAGGTTTATAATCTTGTATGCAAGACACGTCATCATTTACGCTAGAATCAAAATATTTGGTACGCCAAACACATCATCATTTACGCTAGAATCATCATTTACGCTAGAATCAAAATATTTGGTACGCCAGACACGTCATCATTTACGCTAGAATCAAAATATTTGATATGCCAGACACGTCATCAGTTACGCTAGAATCAAAATATTTGGTACGTCAGACACGTCATCAGTTACGCTAGAATCAAAATATTTGGTACGCCAGACACGTCATCAGTTACGCTAGAATCAAAATATTTGGTACGCCAGACACGTCATCAGTTACGCTAGAATCAAAATATTTGGTAGGCCAAATCAAAAACAAAGTTGAAGAGCATTAAAAAATCGAAAATTTCAAATAGTCAGGCAAAAAAAAGGCTAAAGCAATCTATACCTGAGGTTAGAAAAACTTGGGTGTTTTGAATATTTCAACATTTTATAAACAATAAATTTACAATAAAATAAATAATAAATTTATTTCATGCTGACTACTTGGCTTGTGATACCTGAGGGGACAAAGCGTCCAACAGTTCTATGACAAAGTTATTTTTACAGGGAAATCCTCTACTTTTCAGGTTTGAAACGTTGATGAGGCCTTTTGAAATATTAATAAAACGATAAAAAACTATGCCTAAATCAAAATTAATGTTAGTGAACATATATTAACTTCGTATTATCGTTCTTTAATAACCTGATTTAGAGTTGTATCAATGCGAACACCATGTAAAGGTTACCTGGCCCTTGTGTGATATTGCTATCACTTTGAGTGTGTTGTTGTCAACCCTTATCATTGTAGTGATATGTTTGGTTTTTTTTTTATATCTTTTCTGAAATCACTGGATTAATTTCAACCACACTAAAATAGGATTTTCGAAATGTTGCCTGTTATCTAAAAACTATAATAGATAATGTAAACATAAAAAAGATCAGCAATATTAGATCTACCAGAATGTAGAAATGACTGAAAACATAGGATGACTCCTTATTAACTAATATTATTAATATATTCGAGTTGTTGCCTTTTATATAGAAATCTATGATAGACAGGTAGAAACTGTTAGTAGTAAAAATGATCAACAATTACAAGATCTACTCAAAAGCCTATATAACCGAAAACTTTGGATGGCTCCTAATATGAGCTATTACCCTGAAATGACGATTATGGCTAATTTTCATGTTTTTAACTTTTATGTCAAAAACTATAATGGATAGCTTAGACTACTATAACACTGTGTTCAAGTAGTCTCCGTGGATAGGTAGAACTGTAAACAGCAAAACCAATGATCAATACAGTAGGACTGAGTAAACAGCAACACCAATGATCAATACAGTAGGACTGAGTAACAGCAAAACCAATGATCAATACAGTATGACTGAGTAAACAGCAAAACCAATGATCAATACAGTAGGACTGAGTAAACAGCAAAACCAATGATCAATACAGTAGGACTGAGTAAATGATCAATAGAATAGGACTGAGTAAACAGCAAAAACAATGATCAATACAGTAGGACTGAGTAAACAGCAAAACCAATGATCAATACAGTAGGACTGAGTAAACAGCAAAACCAATGATCAATACAGTAGGACTGAGTAAACAGCAAAACCAAAGATCAATACAGTAGGACTGAGTAAACAGCAAAACCAATGATCAATACAGAAGGACTGAGTAAACAGCAAAACCAATGATCAATACAGTAGGACTGAGTAAACAGCAAAACCAATGATCAATACAGTAGGACTGAGTAAACAGCAAAACCAATGATCAATACAGTAGGACTGAGTTAACAGCAAAACCAATGATCAATACAGCAGGACTGAGTAAACAGCAAAACCAATGATCAATACAGTAGGACTGAGTTAACAGCAAAACCAATGATATATACAGTAGGACTGAGTAAACAGCAAAACCAATGATATATACAGTAGGACTGAGTAAACAGCAAAACCAATGATCAATACAGTAGGACTGTTATAAATTGATATTATATAAATAATGGAACTAAAAAAGCAGAAAAAAATGAAGGGTCCGTGTGCTTGTTTTTGAGATATAAGCCGTTGAAAATTTGGCGGGAAATGATTCTCTCTAGATTTTTTTCATACTATTAACATAGGCACTGTTTTTCTATCAAAAACTATTTAAAAAATAACAAGGATTTTACAAGACTTTCATAATTATATGGCTTTTTAAACTATATGTTATAAAATTATGAAAAGAAAAGTAGGGCTGAGTGGGCAATATTTTTAATGGCATTACATGGATAAAACCAGAGGATTCCGAATATCTGACAAATATTCAAAAACAAGAGGAGCGAACATCCTTAATTGAAAAACATTAATAAATAGTTTGAAACTTAAAACAGCAAAAATGATCAGCAATATAAGATATGTTATTGACAGGTGAACGATTCATGCTCTTATGGGCCATTTGTGTTAGTCAACTAATAGATGTTTATAGGCAGAGGGTAGTAACGTCTGGCAAAAAACATTTATCCCGTCACATGTTACATATATGTTTATATTGTTAGCTTTTCGTACTAGTTGTGTTTTGTGGACTGGTGTTTGTCAGTGCCATTCCCTTTCAAGAATCTAGTCTGTGATTATTTTATTCTCCTTCCTTCCTTAATTCGGAATGACACCCGTCTATTAATATTGGTGATGTCTTTCGTTATCAAAGTTTGTATGTTGTTAGGATGTTTGCTCATTGATATATAACCCACATCTCTCATTATAGCGCTTCGGACGCATGTAATTTATAACATGTTGTTTTCATTTTTTACAGCAATGGTTCCATATCACAGGCACTTATTTCTATCAATAGGATGGTCGACTATCGATACCTTTGCCGGTGGTCTATCAGTCCCCGAGGGTATCATTGTAAAGCATAATTCTTCCGGGTGAATTAACATCTGGCGGGGGGAAAATATTACATTATGATATTGTTAGATTCTTTCCGGAGGAAAACATTTCATTATGTGATATTTACCATTGATATGAAATTTTACAGATAGAAGGTGTGAAACTGGTGTTTGAGCCAAAGTAGTCGTATTTGAAAATTAAAATATCGAAAAGTAAATAAAAACTAAATTTTTGCAAATACTATGGGCTCAGGATAGAGTAATTAAATAAAAACTAAAGTGTAGGTCATACTACATCATCAGCTCAGTAGTCAGTACTTCGGTGCTGACATGATTTATAACAAACCTTTCTAAAATTGTCCGTTTATCAATTTTAAAATTATAAAGAAACCAAAGTTTCATCTCCCTCAAATAAAGTTGACCTTGGATTGATTTGGCTATTTCTAGGTCCATTTTTTTCATAAAGCTCTTCAACTGTTTCGGTTCTCGTGCATCCTACGAAGGTCAGTGGTCTTCTCAGGGCACTCCTGCTTTCTCCGCCAATATAATGTGACCAGCAAGAAATAGCCAATAGCAGAGACATATAGCCAATAGTCACGGCTGAAAGTGGCACAAAACACCAATCAGTCAATAAATCAATCAATCAAATATTCGACTTTGAGCAATCCTGACGAAGGTAAATCCAGAATAGCGCTTCGGACGCATGCAACTTATAAAGTCTTGTTTTCTTTTTTTTTATTCATATTTGAATGAACACTATCATACTATGCTCTCCTAAATGCATCCATAAACCTATACGTAAATGACACCTGAACTCAGACATACAACATAATATACTAGTTCTTCAAAAGAGCATAAAATGTAGGTCATATTGTCAACCTATTTGTAGATTGCTGTTTATACTCTCCTAGATACATTATTACTTCTGTTATATGACCTTTGTCTCTTAGTATCTTGGATCTGAACTTGAACGTAAAATGAAATTTAAAAAGATATTTTTTGGTGTGCTTGGGGTTTGTTTGTTTGTTATCTATTATAACATCATTAAAGAGTTAATTTCCTGCACTAATTTCTATTGTATGGTCTTTATAGATAGTTAAAAAACCTATCTACATGTTCATATCCCTACCCCGAATCAGGAACCTCGTCAGTGGTGTTTGTCATATTTTAATGTTGTTTTTTTTTGTGATTTAGTGCATCTGGTGTTTATTCTGAGAAACTTTCCTTTAATAGTTGTAATTCTCTTTGAATTAGTCTTCAGTTACTGCGAGTACTCTTGGATCGGTACTATGGTTCTTTTTTTTTCTTTTAGTATTTAGTACCGGTCTGGTGAGTCAAGCCCTTTACACATAATGTAATAGTTTTCCGACCGTGTGAGGATAAATACCCTCATTTATTTATCAATGTCATTAAACACTCCCTAGTAGTAGTTATAGTGTACGTGGTCGTATGGTGTTCTGTTAGCAATGCCTAGGGGATCACAGTTTAAGCGTTCAAGATGAGGATCCGGGATATTGAAGAGGGGGACCGAGGCCCCCAAACTAGGCAACTTTTGCAGTGGGACATGTAGAAAATCTATGTATTAACCATATATGTAGCTCCACTGGGGGCCTGACACCCTGACCCCTCTAAATCCGCATTTGCGCTCGCAAACGTGTTTAACCCCGCCACATTCTACATGTGCCTGTTCCAAATCAGGAGCGTTAAGTTCAGTGCTTGTTGTTGGTTGCTTTCTGTCATGTTTGTTTTCGTCTGTTGTTTTTTATAGCTTACTATATGGTATTGGTGTTACTTCCTCATTGTTGAAGGCCATACGGTGATTTACATAGTTGATTAAATCCACGTCATTTGGACTCTGATGGATTGTTGACTCATTGGCAATCATACGTTATCTCCTTATTTTTATATATATTCTGTATGTTAACCTCTAGATTATTATTTTTTGAGAGGTGACTATATTTTAAGTTATTGATTAACGATTAAGAAAGCTTGATTGGCTGGCTTCCTTTCAAGCAGCAACCGTATAATAAAAAAAATCCAAAGAAGGATATTTGAGATAAGGTACTGTCGGGGCGTTGCTACACTGAAACAAACGTAACGTAAATAAGAGAAAAGGAGAAATTCATCGTGTATGTCTCCATGTCATACACTTTTATTTCAATGGACTCTCATCTGTGATTTAATGCATATATCGTTGTAAAGATATGATCGAAATCGTATAGTGGCCGGATGCGGTCCGAGTTCGCACTTTCGCCTTGCATAATTAATAAAGCGAAAAAGCAGAAATTATGGGATGTATAGATACGCTGCCACGTCCGGTCTGTGTTTAGTTAAGCCGTTTTCAAATGATTTTTATAGTTTGTTTTTATGTTGTACTGTCCCACCACTGTCCCAGGTTAGGGGAGGGTTTGGCGCCAGCAAACTAGTTTAACCCGCCATATTATAAATGTGCCTGTCCCAAGTCAGGAGCTAGCCTGTAGTTCAGTGGTTGTCGTTGGTTCATGCCTGTCAATTTTGTTTTTTGTAAATTGTTTTGTTATAGATTAGTCCGTTATTTTTTTCAATTGAATGGTTTAATATTTTTTATATCGGGGCCTTTTATAGCAGACTATACGGTATGAGTTTTTCTCATTGTTGTAGACCGCACGGTTGCCTATAATTGCTTACATCCACCTCATATGTCTCAAAGGCAATATACCACATCTCCTTATTTTTGTATTGTTTAGCGCTTTCGCCTTTACGCCCTATTTGAACCATTATTGCAATCTATTAATCGTGGTATTAAATATTGGGATTTATAAAAGATCATACGCGAAGACGTCCCATTAAAATGGTAAAATAATCTTTCAAATTTTGTTTTTCAAATGTGAAAAGAATATTTAACAATCTTTGAAAAAAAAATTCTTATGCCACTTCCAGCGTGTAAAACTTGAGAAAAAAAATGAAATTATCTGGTAACAGTGTTTTTCCATATATTTTATTACCTTTGCCAAAAGCTTAAAAGTGTTCCTTTATTCTTATATAAAGAAAAGCTTAATTAATAGATGCATTATTGATTTTATTTTCTTAAAGCAAGTTATGGTGTATGAACAAGTGAATAAACATTAGTTTGGCTCGGATATGTTTGTAAGGACATCCTGTTAGTTTTTGTTCTATAAATCTTATCCATGAAATTTATTCAAGCATACTTGTCAAGAAATTATATAACTTGAATTGTTTATGGTTCATTTGTTATAAAAATATCAAATATATCGAGCTATTATACCCAAATAATTGTACACGATTCTAAACGATACTTACCTTACTTATTATTTAATTGTATCAAAAAAGAACTGTTTGATTACGTTAAAAAATAGGTAATTTTAAGTTAATTATCATTAAACAGAAAAGTCATCGTATTTTCATGTTTACGGCTCCCGATTTTCCACAAATTTCAACTGGCTTAGTAAAATAACAAGGAAGTGAGGTCTATTCTTCTGTTTTAAGGTTAATATGGCATATTTATAATTTTAAGTAATATGTAACAATTGCGTTCAACTGTTATTTATTTCCTTTTGTTAACATTTGAGTATACATATCCTGTTTCTTCAATGGTTATATGTATATATTTATTTCCTTTTTACAACATTTGTGTACATCTCCAGTCTCTTCTGGAGTTACATTTTTATTTCCTTTTTACAACAGTTGAGTACATATCTGTTCTCTTCTGTGATAATATTGGCAAACGAGTTCTAACCTTGTCGACAAAATCCGGGTCAATGTCACAATATACAATGGTTTCCAAATGTTCTGTAGTAATAAGAACATCTCCCCAAGGACTAACCACTGTACTGTGTCCCCATGCAACGTATGAAGCTGTTTCATCGCGTGCTCCCGACACCAAAGCTACATAGACTTCGTTGTCAACAGCCCTGGCTCTCAGCAAAGGCTCCATATGTGAAGGGCCAGTGGTCATATTAAATGCCCCTGGGTATACCAGAAATTTACACCCCATTTCACCGTAAATGTGTGCTAGTTCTGGGAATCGTAGATCATAACAGACTCCGATGCCGATTTTACAATATGGAGTATCAAATGTGGTAAAGTCACATCCGGGACTTAGCGAATCAGCTTCTCTAAAGCGAATTTTACCAGGAACATCAATGTCAACCAGATGCATTTTCCTGTGTTTAGTAAGAAGTTCTCCTGACGGACTAAAGACTGGACATGTATTATATACCTTTCCATTATCAATTTCTGGTATAGAACCTCCAATGATGTAGACATTGTTATCCTTGGCTGTCTGTGCTAAGACATCTGAAGTCGGTCCAGGAATAGACTCAGCATATTTTGGGAAACATGTCGTATCGTAGGGAGAGTTAAAACATTCTGGCAATATGACTAGTTGTGCTCCATTTTTAGCGGCCTTATTAATAAGTGTGACTGCATGCTCAATGTTTTCTAATTTGACTGCCGTTACAGCCATCTGAACAAGTGCCACCTTAAAAGTCATGTCTGTTCTTTATGCTCTATGTACTGTTGAGGTTGAAAATGTTCATTAATATTCTGAAAAAAAAATATGACGTTGATAAGAAGTTGATGAATCGATTATTAACATTGATTTGTGTAGTAAAATGTCAAGAAAACATTATAGCTCACAAGGTTACAAGGACTTCTTTTTCTTCATTTAAGACGAATAATCATAGCTTGAGGACTTTTTATTCTGTATGCTTGGCGGATCGAATAAGTAAAAAAACAATTATTGTCTGATTGGGTCACAGATTGAATTTTGAACATCTCGAAGTTTAGGCTTGAATAAATTTTGACGAAATACTTGTGAATAGTTACAATTCAACAAAAAGACTTAGACTTTAAATTCGTTCAACATGAAAAAGTATAGTTATCTTGTTATTTAATTAACTGAACATCGCAATATAAAAAGCAGTAATCCACGGTTGTCATTCGGTAAATCGAGAAAAATGATGTGAAAGAATAAGTAACGGTGGCTTGCATGCGACAAGATGGTGAAAGATCTGATATGGGATCGCCAAAGAAATCTTATCGAGGAGACACATGCAAGGTCAACAGACAATCTAATTTATTGAAATGTAAGGAAAAATTTTCCACTAAATCTCGTGTTTGTCAAAATTGTTCAACATTATGATCAGTATCTGAGAGATGTATATGTTACAGTGAATTTGTATAATCAGGGATTATGTAGAATCCCTGGTTTTTCAGGGATTATGTAGAATCACTAAACTCATTAGTGATTATATATAATCCCTGAAAATGACCAGTGATTTTACATAATCACTGAACATTTTACTAATTATTTTACAAATTCCCTAATATGATTTCAGGGATTATCAATAATGAAAAAAAAAAAATATAAGGGAAAGGTTTTACCAGTGATATTTTATTAAACTGTATGTTGACCACAATATTTCACAAACAAATAAGTATGGCAGAGGAAAATACAAAATGCAAGCTATGGAGAAGGAACAAAAAATGGTATTTTTACTTTGATGACAAAAGAACCAAGTAAAAAAGACTAAAATCCTGCTTAATTCTATCTGCTAACAAAGTATATATTTAAATTGTTTTAAGGCTGCTATTATCCTATATATTTCATACATATTACACTCTTTACAGCATTATGCAGTACTATAGGAGGGGACGGGGTTGGTGGGCATGGATCTAAAAATAGATAGTCTTCAATATTTGACGAAACAAATATATATTTTGTGAAAAGCAAAAGTTGTCAAAACTAGATATACAAAAACAGAAGTACCATTTATATGATTTGCGTCTCATAAGTATACTAGTTTTTATAACAAATCAGTGGTTGATTCGAGTTGAATTGAGGGCGTTGTCCATAGAGGGGATAAAGAACATGAAATTCAATTCTGAGAGAAATAACGCAACAGAATTCTGCTAGCATCAGCAATCAGTTCACGGCTGCTGATTCCCTTTTTTTGGGTACCTTCAGATGATTGTATTACAAACTTTATTTCTCTTAGACATGCCGTAAAATCTGATTCGATATGAGAAAGACAAGGTTTTTTTTTAATGTGGATAGTGTATGGAAATATTTTAGGATGTTTATAATGAAGTTTTATTATGATTTGATATTATAAATTATTTAGTTTAACTTACATTCATTTTCTTCATACACAAAACTGTTTCTTCATTTCAGTTATTATGCATAATCCCTGACGTCTTTTCTAGTGATTATACATAATCCCTGAAAATTTCAGTGATTATATATAATCCCTAAACTAACCAGTTATTTTACATAATCCCTGAAAATTTCAGGGATTATGTAGAATCCCTGATTATACAAATTCACTGTAACATATATACGCATATTTGTCGGAATTGAAATTCATGTTCAATCAATCAGAACCCGTTTATTACGCATGTGCATACAGGTTGTACATAAATTTATTACTAGTATTTCAGCATGTTCTAGTGGTTTTTTGTTTTGTTTTATGGGTTTTGTAATTTGTATAAAATGCACCGGAAAAAAGTTGTTTTTAAACATTTTTTCATCTATTTTCCAACAAGTTCCAAAATAGAAAAAAGTTACATACAATTAATCTTTTTATTTTCTACAAGGTAAAAAATAATTCAACAAAAACTGATAAATTCATTATTGTAACTTTATTTCCTGTGACTTTTCATCTATATTCATCAATACGAACGTAGGACAGGAGGTCACACAAATAAAAACAATGGAAGGACAAGAAGTCACAAACTAGTTTTTGAATATTTTTTTGGCAGAGATCTAAAAAAACTAACTTCTTCAACTTTTACTTAATTAAAACATTTGTAGTAAACCATCAATAGTTATACATTTTTGCTAGGTAAAAAGAATATCAAAAGGAATTCATGGCACCAATAAATATATACACTTGGTATGGTTCAAATTCATTTAATCTCTATCCAAAAATACTAATACAAAAAATAAGGAGATGTGTTGTACGACTACAAATGAAGCAACTATCTGCCAGAGTTCAAATGATAATGAAAGACTCTGACATGAAACATGTGAAACAATGCAAACTCGAAAACTATCGAAATAATCTATACAATACCATAGATGTAATACCCATTATACATCTATGACAATACAAACTACGAAAACTAAATATGACAGACAACCACCAACTACTGACAATTTTATGAATTACAAAAAACGCTGCTATGTGGAAGCATTTGGTTTATTTTAGAACTTACAATTTGTTGTAATTTTATTATTGACAATGATAGAAGAAAACTAAGAGTTTCATTGTATATCACCAGAAAGTTGAAAAAAAAGAGTCACTGCTGTTTCTCGTATTGTGAGTTAAGATGAAATTGTTTTTGTTTAAACATTTTATTTCTATAAATACCAAGTCCTCTACATTCTCTGCTATGAATAAATGTTATGGTAGTTTTGTCAATGTCTCTATTTAAGCTATTGGTGTGTTTTTTTAAATAACTACATAAATTGTTTTGTCTTGTTCGATTGCAGTCCCGTTGATTTGTACCTTTATCTCTTCTTATTCATATTCATTTCCAAATAATTTGGTGACATACACCGTTTGTCAGAGGCTTTGATAGGAATTCGTATACAGGCCAAGGAAAATAATATATTTGAAATCCTTCCATGACACAATAATGTCTTTATTACATATTGTTCTAATCGTGCAGTCAGCCTTCAAAAGGATACTTTATTTATATAACAGTTGAATAAAATTTAAATGCACGGTATTAAAACGAAAGATTCAAAGTTTATAAAAATATTGCAAAAGAATATTGTGTTTTTTACAACACACACGTAAAACTAAATTTAAAAACTTACTTATCATTGCTTCATATTTTACAGGATAATCAGAGTTTTATGGAAGTTGCATGTTGAGTGCAACTTTAGATACGAAACCATATTGATATTTTGTAGAAAACCTGTTTTCTGCATTAATTTAACATAAATCCTGTATTTTCAACACATTTCAAGTTTTCTAGGAGAAAAACCAGTCAAAATGATAAAAATGTTGCCGTCGTAAAATATATGTTCCAATGTGAAGAAAAATTGTTCCCATGGGAAGAAAAAAATTGTTCCGTTGGGAAGAAAATTGTTCCAATGGGAAAATAAATTGTTCCCATAGGAAAAGTTAAATTCCCATGGGAACAAACTATTTACTAATGTTCCCATGGGAACTTAAAAGTTCCGATGGGAACTTTAAAATTCCCATGGGAAAAGTACTTTTTCCCATGGGAACTTTAAATTTCCCATGGGAAATGTACTTTTAATCAGCTGTAGTGACAACAGTGACAGGTTGGGACATATGGGAAAATTTAGTTTTTTTATTGTCGTTCACTTGACCAAAAAATATTTTTGTTATCTTGTAAAACAACAAAGTCAGATTTGCCAATTCTCGAATGGCAAATTTGTCCCGCAGTGTTGAAGGGAGACTCTACTACACTTAAATGTATCTTCCTCCGTCTTGGATTTGAAATAGCAGATAACAATCGATGTAGATCTTTAATGAAATGTGCAAATTTCGAGAGTAGTATGTAATTCATGTGCAAGACTTTTCATGTTGATATCGAAAATTATGTGTTTTATCATATTTTACGGCTGTATTTAACAAAAAAAAGAATACTTTTCTTTAATTCATTTTTTTTTTCAACTTTGCCACATAAGGGGAAATAACTCAGATAAAGTAACTTTTATAATAGAATATGTTTGTGAATTTACCTATTTTATTATGTAGCAAGAAAATGAGTCCTGTGACCCGTTTTTTTCCTTTTTCTTATCTAAAAGCATTATTATTAGAGCTATCTTCTCATATTTTATTTTAAAAATCTATGGTATAGTTTTCTATTTCTCACACAAAATTTAGTTTAAATTTAGTTTTCCATGCATAATCTATACAAAATCTGACAATTTTGCACAACCTGTAGTGTGAAAAAATCCCGGTGATCCATACTTTTTAATGTTTTTTTTTTTTAAATGTATGATATAAACTACATTTTGACAAATTATTAAAAAAATCTATTTTAGACACCCCCCCCCCCCCACCCCCCACCCCCCACCCCCACCCCCCAATCTACCTTAAGATTTCGAACGCCACAAATTACTTAAAAGCTTTACATAAGATCCTGGTAAACGTATCGTTTCTTTAAATAATTTTATTCTAAAAGGTTGTCAATTCAACACTGTAATTATACCTTTGAATATTGGTTTAATTGGTTTAAATATTGATTACCTTATCAATAAATTAAAATCCAACTAAATATTATTGTTATACACATATGTACTTTCCCGGTCCTACAATATGTCCATACCTATAGTTTGGCATTGCACAAGGTCATTTTTTCTCTGACTGTTAATGACGTCTTTACACTAAAAGCATTGGATGTTGGATGTGTACTGGTTGATATTTTAGTCTTAGATCCATATATAATTTGTTTATCAGTTGTTATGGGCTTTGAACTAGCTTTCAGTAACTGCGAGTACTCTCAGATCTGTACTTTATGTCTTTTGTGTTGTTTTTGTGCTGTGTATCAATCTGGTGAGTTAAGCCCTTTTCAACTGATTTTTATAGTTTTTTCTAATTTTGTGTTGTTCCACTACTGTCCCAGGTTATTGGAGGTTTTGGTGCCAGTAAACATGTTTAGCCCCTCCAAATTCTGTTTGTGCCTGTCCAAAGTCAGGAGCCTGTAATTCAGTGGTTATCGTTTGTTGATTAGTACACATAAATCAGACCGTTATTTTTTTTTTGTTTGAATTATTTTACATTTGTCATCCCTGTGCCTTTTATAGCTGAATATGCGGTATAGTTTTTCTCATTGTCGAAGGCCGTACGGGGACGTATGTTGTAAACTTCTATGTCATTTGCATCTGGTGGGAGTTATGCCATTGGCAATCATTTGACATCTTCTTATTTTTATATTGACAAAAACCTCACAGTAGTGATAGATTCATAAAAATCACCAAAGAGTAAACAATAATATCTTACCTTAAGGTGAAAAGAGAAAAAGCTATGCACGATACCAATATGTTGTCATAAGAACCCACATCACTAAGATAACATTATATGTTCATTTGTACTAATATTGATCAATATTCAAACTCACTCTTCTCATTATTAATTTATTCTGTTCCACGAAACGAAACTTTATGTTTAACTTTGTTGTCATCGTTCATCCATGAAATAACCTGATACTTTAAAAAAAAAACAGTTTTTATAACTTTGCACATTTACATAATAATACGACCAATGAAGTAGTTCTTTTATATAACCGTTCCACGTATTTTTGACGTTATTGGATGTTTCTTCTGTACTCATTTAAAGATGTCCGTATTTTGCCAGTTTACTGGAACTGAAATGAGAGGACTTCGGCATTGTCAAAAACACATGATTTAGAAGCATATGGCGGTTAGCCTTGATCTGTAAAGAAGTTTAGTTCAACAATTTCTCCAGTATATCAGTTTATAATTTAATTTTGGATGTAACACGTGTTCTGATTGGCTGAGAGAATTTTGTTTATCAGCTCATAGACATAATTTTGTCATGTGACCGTGACGTTATCAACGTTTTTTTCACGATTAACTCCTTAAAAATGGAATTTAGAATTAAATTATAAGGAATGATTGTAATATTTTTTCTGTCTATTCGAAATAATAGAAAAAATGTGGTGCACACTGTTAAATAACCCACTTCGCGCGTTATTCAGTGTGCACCACATTTTTGATGTTGTCTTCATAGACAGAAAAAATATCACAGTCATTCCTTAAATATTACAAAATATCTACACACACAAAAAAAAAAAAACACAGAAAAACAAATCCAGCACAAAAAAATTACACCAACAAAACAACAAAAAAAGTCAACTTTCAAACACAAAATGTTAATCTTTATAATTAAAAATTAAATAAATATTGGTGTACTCTTCTAAATTATGAACATGTCGTGCTAATTTGAATAATTGTAGTCTTTGTAAGATTTGTTTAAAATCTTTTGATATTTATATTGTAGGAGTAAATGTTTTGATCATTTGTCTTAAATTCTTATGATCATAAATCCTCACCTAAAATAAAAGACCATATAAATAAGAGGAAACGTGGGCTTAACATTGATAAGACAGCAAACCAACAACAAAGTTAAACCAAAGGAGACATCTAAAGGACAATATATGGTCTTCAATTAAGTATCTATAGCATACTTTAAACTCCAAATCGCTTGGTGTTCATTTTCTTCGGTGTTAGTTGCACAAGACATGAACTATCTATTGACATATATAATTTGGATTTGAAGGATCGAAGCAATAATTACGTTCAGCGGCAAATCATATACTCTGCTTTGAACGAAACCGACATGCAAAGTAGGATTTCTAACGTGTTATAGACTCAAATCGGTCAAATTATTCGGACTCATATCCGGCCAGTCTTTGATCTTTCTCCTATAATTACCACTGGCAAGGTGGCGAAAGAGCCAGTACCAAGCCTAAAGTATTTGGCTTGACAGTATCGAACCAATATCCCCCTCCCCACCTAAACGAACTCCGAGTCAAGCACTCTACACCAGACCAGAAATGTGGTAATAGGTTATGGACAAGTAAAACAATGTTTCTATTGTAGTATTAAGGAACAAACCGGATATGAACTTTTTAGTTCTGAGATAGTATGGCAGATTTGACTGACCTTGCTTTCAGTGACTACAAGAATTTTTTAATAAGGTGTCATGTCTATCTTACGTCTTTTATGTTTTGACGTCTGTTATGCCCATATTTTAACCAACTTAGTAAATTAAAATCATTCTTATATTTTTGTTATACACTTTAACGGTACTACAATCTGTCGATCCTTTATTTTGGCATTGCACAAGGTCAGGTTTATCTCTGACTGTTAATGACGTTTTTACACGAAATGCATTGGATGTTGGATGTGTACTGATTGATATTTTAGTGTTAGATACATGATTTTTTTATAAGTTGTTATTGGCTTTGAACTAGCTGCCAGTAATTGCGAGTACGTTCAGATCTGTACTAGTGTCCTTTTTGTAGTAAGGGATGAGGGATGTATAAATACCCTGCCACGTCCGGTCTTTATTTTATGTTTGATGTTTTTCTGCTTTGTATCGATCTGATGAGTTAATCCTTTTTCAACTGATTTTTATAGTTTGTTCTTTATATGTTGTGCTGTTACACCACTGTCCCAGGTTAGGGGAGGGTTGAGCGCTTACAAACATGTTTAACCCCACCATATTCTTTATGTGCCCGTCCCAAGTCAGGAGTCTGTAGTTCAGTGGTTGTCGTTGGTTCATGTCTGAAACTACTTGTTTTTCGTTAATTGTTTTATTATAAATCAGGCAGTTAGTTTTCTCAATTGAATTGTTTCATATTTTTCATGTCGGGACCTTTTATAGCCGACTATGCGGTATGGGGTTTTCTCATTGTTGAAGGCCGTACGGTTGCCTATAAATGCTTACATCCACTTTATTTGAACTTTGGTGGATAGTTGTCTCGTTGGCATCCTTATCTTTATTTTGTCTGAACCATTTAAACCTTATTGCAAATGTATGATAGAGATTTATAAAGGGAGAGAAACCACCAACTGTTAATGTTCTTATCAAAAGTAAAAAACGTCGTCAGTGGTTTATCTTTTGTTCTGTATCAATAGTTGTTTTTGTTCTTTATTTTTTATCCATTTGAGGATTTAAATAGGAGTTAATAGCAGATTTTTGGTAGTATTTATTTGTTGTTGCGATTTGGAGCTTTACATATGGTATAGATCATTTTCTGTTGTTGCAGCATGTTGTTGAATTACTGTCTCATTGACGTATGCTGGGTTGGAATGAAAAGAGATGATATATGGAAGGGAAAAAACCATAGTGATGATATCGTCAATAGGTCAAACGTCAAGGTCGCTACTGAATAAAGAGACATTTTGGAAAACTGGATTCCAGATCGTAGACTATTTTTTGCTTGATTGAAATGAAACACATGGAATATAAAGGGAAGGGAAAGAAGCCTATTTATTTTGTCTTCAGATCTTCTTTTTAGATATGATTTCCGGAAAATAGTTTGAGTTTCCCTTGCTTAGTTGGAATTAAACGTTTACAAATGAAAGATACAGCGCAGGGAGGGGAAGCCTACTCCCTATTGGGTCGTAACTATTGGCTAGTGAAGATTGATTAAAATGAAACTATAGCACATTGAAGATATAAGGAAGATTTAAAAGCCTATTAGTTTTGGGGCTAGCAGGTTAAGGTTAAGGTTACTGTTACTAAAATAAGAAAGAAAGAAAAAATAAAATGACTTTCGGGATGGTATTCTAATACATGATTATGTTATATAGATACAATGGATAAGCGTGGATTCTTGAAAAAGAAACCATGAGCCCGGAGGGCGAATGGTTTGTTTTTCATGAATCTACGCTTATCCATTGTATCTATAACTTAAACTATTGTGTTCATTTCTTTTCAAAATTAAAGCCTTTTTCTTAATTAGAAGGTATTGTAAGTGAGTTTAAATAACCATGTTATCGTGTTCAACGATGCATTGATAAATCTCAGATCACAATTAATTGGTTAAAAAAATACAAATATAACCCTTCTACCTTTAAAGATCTTTATATTATCAGGCATCTGAATATTATCTTATTACAAAATAAGACATATTCGTATGTATTTCTAATTAAATTGAGAATGGAAATGGGGAATGTGTCAAAGAGACAACAACCCGACCAAAGAGCATATATAAAGTATATATAATAAGTATATTACCGAAATTTCTAGCACTCTAGGCACATCACGATTTTTCTCGCATAGGAATTTGCGAACAAACATTTGTAAAATTATGTAGTAAAACAGAAGAAATCATACTATATTTATACAACAAAACAGAGACATATAATACAAGAGATTCGCAACTCGGCGAAATCCCGTAATAACACGCGGCCACTAGTTAAACCTCGCGAGATCTCCTTAGGTAATAAAGTCATTAATAAAAGTATTAAAAGTACTCGAAGTAAGGACGAATGTTTAAGCATAACATAAACTGTTTCAGTGTTAAATTTATCATAATTAATTAAATATAATTTGAGTACATATATAATTATTTATTTTAATGTAATTTTGATTTTAGATTTGTTTTATTGAAAAAGAGACATAATTTGATATTTTATAAAAAAAAACTGATATTAAATAATTAACACTTGATAAATTGTGTCAGAGTTCATTTTATTTGATAGTTACATAATGGGTTTCTATTGAATATACACCTGTCTCGGAGACATAATTTCACAGTGTGACATGTATATTAGGTTTGAATTATTCGATGACCAGGTAAATCACGAACATGTTATAAATAATGAGTTTTAATTGACACCTTGTAAACAAGAAGTTGTCACACCACAGGTGTCCACACTCTTTCCACAAATACAATTCACAAAATGTATAATTAATTAATATGGAAAAAAACTTAATTTATTTGTTAATTAATTGTTAATCATGATAGGCTTTGTTTTTTATTCTTGATATTTATAAATTATTAAAATTTTATTTATTTTTATATTCCTCATTTATTGGGCTTTCATTGAGTTTTTTTTCTGTAGGATTGTCGGTAAATGTTTGATTTCTAAGTGTTGTTTGACAGTTTTATCATATAGGCTTGCATTGAGTTGTTTTTTTAAATGATTGTCGGTAAATTTATGGTTTCTTCATGTTCGAAGTGTGTATTGAGAATTAATATTTAAGAAAATTACAATTAATTTCTCATTTGAATAAAGCTTCATTCATGTGCACGCAATATGGAAAATTCCGATTTTATTTCGTGGGATCATGACAATCTTAATTTCGTGGGATGACAATCTTAATAGTTACGACTTAGATATACTCCTAGTTGAATAAACTGATAACGAACTCTTTGTTGATAGTGAAAAGGACGAAAACATAAGCGAGAGACCCACCAACAAAAACTATTGACAATACTGCATACATAGATGGATATGTGTGTCCTCGAAGCAACAAAAAATCTATAAAAAAACACAGGTCATACATCAAAGCAACACGGAAGACACTATTTAAAAAGTATTTTATAACCTTGTTTCCACGAGACAATCATTTGTAGTGGTTTTTGTCTTTTAATCATTTGTAGCGGTTTTTGTCTTTTTATTCTGGGGTAAAGAGATGGCAATTTAAAAGTAAGATTGTTTATGTGTATACATATACAAATCCTTGGTGTAAATAAAATCTTTTATTATCAAATATATATATATATATATATATATAAAAGTCTAAATTGAAAACAACGTTCAAACCTATGATTGCGTTGGATAAAAACCGCAATTTTTATACGTGTGCATGTAAAACAAATTTCTTGGTAGAGGGGTCTAAATACAGCACAAACAACAATTTCCAAAAGACCAAAAAAAGTGAAAAAGTCTATTTTAACAAAACGCATTTGACTAACAGGTCGAACAACTG